GATCACTTAAAAATTCCTCGATGATTAAGTCCATGTGTTCTTTATTTTGAAAAATTATGTCCCGGGCTATTTTGTAGCAAATTTTATGGGCTTTCAGATAGGCCTAAAAGAAAATTTTTATATAAGCCTTAAGGGGGTTAAAATATTTTTTGAAGTACTGTACCCTCGTTTTCAGTTGATTTTCGTTTTCAGTTGATTTTTCCTTTTTAGACGTAAATATATCGAGGGAAAACAAACACAAAAAAGTTTTGCCGTCCTTTTCGTTTATTCAAAAAAGAAAAAAATTTTTTTGTTGGCACATAAAATAGCCTTTCCTTCCTTCCCCAATTTTAAAAAATAAATACAGTGTGTAACAAAACTATAAGCCACCTCAAATTTTTTAATTTTTTAGGGTTCTAATGAATGAAAATTTTTGAAATTTTAACCCAATATTGAAAATGTAATTTCAAGTAAAAATTAAAAAAAAATTTAATTAAAAAATCTTACAAAAAATTTTTTTCGAACTTTTTCTGAAATTTAGGTGTAACATAACTATAAGCCATCTTGGAAAAATTTTATTTTTCATATTAGAAATGTCTGAAAAATTTTGCAAAAATTTCTGTGATCATTTCCATCGATATAGTGTAGAAAAGTAAAAAGAACGAAGTCATTAACTGCTTTCTTCATTGAGATCTAAAATCTCAAAAATCAACTGAAAACGAGGGTACAGTACTTCAAAAAATATTTTAACCCCCTTAAGGCTTATATAAAAATTTTCTTTTAGGCCTATCTGAAAGCCCATAAAATTTACTACAAAATAGCCCGGGACATAATTTTTCAAAAATATATATATATTTGAGGTATGTCCACTTAACTTTAAAAATACTAAAAACTCTCAAAATACCCCATAAATGATCACTTAAAAATTCCTCGATGATTAAGTCCATGTGTTCTTTATTTTGAAAAATTATGTCCCGGGCTATTTTGTAGCAAATTTTATGGGCTTTCAGATAGGCCTAAAAGAAAATTTTTATATAAGCCTTAAGGGGGTTAAAATATTTTTTGAAGTACTGTACCCTCGTTTTCAGTTGATTTTCGTTTTCAGTTGATTTTTCCTTTTTAGACGTAAATATATCGAGGGAAAACAAACACAAAAAAGTTTTGCCGTCCTTTTCGTGGTTCCGTGACTTTTGCGCCGAGAACATTTGCGCCGCGACACTTGCGCCGCGACTTTTGCGCCGCGACTTATGCGCCGAGCGACTTTTGCGCCGGGGAACATTTGCGCCGCGACTTTTGCGCCGGGCGACTTTTGCGCCGCCACTATCATTAAAAATATATAGATAACTACAGCCGAACCTCACTTTAGTAGTGTTGTCGGATAGTTGAAAATCTTCTGATATCCGGATCCGATATCCAAACTGAAAATTTCGGATATCCGGCCTTTTTCGGATCCGGATTTTTTAAACAATGGCGGCGCAAATGTCGCGGCGCATAAGTCGCCCGGCGCAAAAGTCGCGGCGCAAGAGTCGCGCCGCAAAAGTCGCCCGGCGCAAAAGTCGCGGCGCATAAGTCGCGGCGCAAATGTTCTCGGCGCAAAAGTCGTGATACCCTTTTCGTTTATTCAAAAAAGAAAAAAATTTTTTTGTTGGCACATAAAATAGCCTTTCCTTCCTTCCCCAATTTTAAAAAATAAATATGTAGAGCAACAACAAAAACTATTATTTATTTATTTGTTAATGCCCAATTGACGCAAAAAGACTAAATAAAACTGTTCAGTTAAATGTCTGTATACTTACATATAATTTATTTAAATTTTTTGGGAGGAAAATTTTGTTAATTTTAATTTTATCCAATAATTTTATTCTTTAAAAAATATTTTATATAACATTTTTTAATTTATTTTTTTAAATTTCTTTAAATTAAAAAAATAATCTTTAATTTATTTGACAAAAATTAAAAATACTTTGGTATATTTCATTCAAAAATTAATTTTTGTTTTTGTTTGCCATTTTATCAATATAATTTCAAATAATTTTCTGATAATTAATTTTAATTAAATTTTATTTAAATAAAATTGAAATATTGATTTTTTAAATATTTTTTTTAATATTTTCTGAAATATTGAAAGTATAAATTGAAAAGTGAATACGCATACTTAAATGTTTGTTTTTACGCTTGTCCGAGCTTTTTAGAATTCGGTTCATAATTTATATTTTTTAAATATTTTTTGAAAATTTCTAAAAAAAATTTTTTGTTAATCTTGCATTTAAAAAATTTTGAGCAGCCCCCTTCTCCTATTCCATCGATATTTTATTACTTCTAGATCCCTGTTAATCCCCCAAATACCCTCTTAATCACCTCTAACCCTTTGTACATGTTTGAATTTACAGTGAATCTACTTTAATGTTAAAATAACAGTATCCATACTTAACTCAGTCTCTAAAACTGCCCCCAGTCAATGACTAATAAAATTCACGAAAATTCCCGAAAATCGGGAATTCCTTATGTTTTTTGTCGGCAGGATCCCTAGTACATACTAACCGATTATCTCTACACATTTTTTTTATTTTCTTTACTTTTTAAATGAATACCAAAGTTATTGAAAAATTTTTGATTATCAAAAGATCTCAACCGAAAATAATAAACACAAAAAATCCTCAGTTATCCAAAGGGTTAACAATATTTTTATTATTTTTTAAAATTAAATTTTAATTTCTCTGAACTCTAAAATAATTTCTTTTTCTTTTATAAACGTCATTAAAACTACATTTTTATCATAAGAAACTGTTCTAATTTAGTATTAATTTCTTTTCTTTTTTTTTTGCAAAAATTAAATTTATTTTAAAACCTAAATTAATTTATTAAAATGATTTTATTTTTTAAGAATTTAATAAAATTTTAATTTTTAAATTAATTTTTAAAAATATTCTTAATTATTTGTCAATCAAAATTAGTAAAGTTTAACACCCCCCCCCCCTCAATCAGAGACTTTCATGTTTTTATTTTTTTTTAAATTTACTCTTCGATTCGTGTCTAACCCCAATCTTTGGTAGCGGGTTTAAGGGTTAATTATAAAATTTTCGAAATTTTTTTTTCACATTTTTAAGTAATACATTTCCATGCTTTGTTTGAGGTAAAAATAAAGATATTTTTTGCTCAACAATTTTTTAAAATTTTTCCTTCCCTTTTTTGTCTGTCAAATAAAATATTTTTTAAAATATATTTAATGTCCAGATAATAAAGAGTGATAAAAATATATATTAAAATAAATTGTTAATCAATATAGATTTGTATTTATATATGTGAATAAATTGTTGTGTGTGTGTGTGTGTGTGAATCGTGATAGGGCAAAACACCGTCTGACAAAAACACCGTCCACACATTAGAGCAAAATCTACCATTAATTTCACTTAAAATAAACAAGTTTTAAAATAAAATTTTAGGTAAAGGAATTAAAGTACAAATCAAAATAAACCAGAAAGTCTAAATGCACTAAGATAATATTGACATAACTCAAGTTTATTATCTGTAAATGTGGACAGTGTTTCTTTACTCTAATTTCCAGACGGCATTTTTGTCAGACGGTGTTTTGTCCCTACCATGTGAATAACGGGGCGGCCATGGAAACCCTTTTAAATCTTTTTTTCTACCCACACATACATGAATATGTTCGCGCGACTTTTATAGACTTACTTCGTTGGTTCAATTAAGAGAGTATGTATATTTTAAGAGAATAAAAAATATTTTTTTTCTTCTAAAAAATTAAATATACAACAAAATATATTTGGGGGGGGGGGGGGGGGGGGGGAGAAATGCATGTGCGCAGGTTGGGTGAAGGAAGCCTTTTTTTTATTTCCCTTCCCATTTCTTCTACATATTTTTTTTACCTTCCCCCTAACTGTAATTATTGACTATATGTATATATTTTAATTATTGAATTTATTTAAAAATAATTTTCAAAAAAATATTTTTGTTCTCCTTTTGTTTTTTCAAATTAGGGGTATGCCAATTTGTTAATTGATCATTCTAAAAGGTTAATTGATTGATGTTAATTGATGTTAATTGATCATTCATTTTTTCATAATTTTTAATTAAATTTGCCTAATTTTTGGAATGATAATCGAATGTTTTAATTGACTTTTTTAATTAAATATTTTTTTTAAATTACTGAGAGATTACCCCGTTGGAAAGTGGATTCGAGGAGTTTTATTTTAACAAATTATTGTTTAAAAATATTTTTATTTTTTTGTTAATATTTTCCTGTTTATTTTTAAAAATTTCTAAATCACATCTTCTAAAAAATATATTTAAATTTTTTTTTAAAAATTTACAAAAAATAACATGTTGTATTTTCTTTTAACGTTTCATTTATTTATTTATTACTCATTGTTGGCTATTATTTTTTCTAATTTTTTACAAAAATTTTTTTGTAAATATTTTGTTGAATCATATCCATGTTGTATATTTTTGTATATATATATTTAATTTAAAAAAAAGAATTTTTAAATTTTAATTGACAGAATAAAAAATTTTAGATAATTTTTTTCTTATTTAAAAATACTTGTTTTTTTAATTAATTTTAACATTTATTTATTACTAAAATTAATTAAAAAAAATTTTTTTAGAAAAAAATTTTAATTTAATAATAATAATAAAAATTCTCTCAAATAATGGAAAAAAAATATTTATTTGTGTGTTTATGTCATCTTCTTATTTTATTTTTTTCTATTTCCTTTTATTTTTAATTTATTTCCTCATTTATTGTATAACCTTCGAAAATTTAAAAAAAATAATTTTTATGAAAATAATTTTTAATTTTTTTAGAAAAAACGTTTTCTCTTTTTAATTAAAAAACGTTCAAAATTGATCGTTTTTCTTCGCTGCCCTCTCCAATTAATTTTTATTTTAAATTTTTTTGGTGCTTTTAATTAATTAATTTTTAACGACAAAAAATTATTTTTTAAATGTTTTTATTTTAATTTAAAAAAAAGAAGAGAATCCCCTTTTAAATTAAAATAATTATGCCGACACGAGATTCTATAGCTGTTGAATCAACATCTGTTAATACAAAAGGATTCGATGTTTCTTTAAAAGAATTGTGTCAATTAATGGATATGAGAGGGCCTAATGCCTTAGAAAAAGTTTTAAAAATTTTTTTTTAAATAAAAATTCTAAAAAATAGATAAATGCTGATTATGGGGGTTTGGAAGGGCTTTGTGCCAAAATCCAGACAGACCCTTTTAGTGGATTGCCAAATAGTTCAGCAGAATTGGAAAGGCGAAGGAATGTTTTTGGAAGAAACGAAATCCCTCCTTTACCTCCAAAATCGTTTATTCGTTTAGCTTGGGAAGCATTACAAGATGTTACTTTAATTATTTTGTTAATAGCTGCAATTATTTCTTTTTGTATTTCTTTTTATACTGGAAATACTTCAAAAAATAATTTAAATAATATTAAAACAACAACAATAATTCCCGATTTAAATAATACAAGTAAAGAAGTTATTAATGATGAACATGCAGGGAGAATTGAAGGAGTGGCTATTTTAATTGCTGTTAGTTCTTATTTTTTTGAAATTTTGTTCCCCAACTTCCTCAAAGGACACATTTGAAATAGCAAAATTTTCGCCGACGGTGCCAAAAATGTAACAAAATTTGGACGAAATAAAATTTCAATTTCATCGTTATGAAATTTCAAAAACTTTTGTAGATTTGTGAGAGAAATTTTTATCTTTATAATTTTTCTACTTAATTGAAACAGATTTTAAACAGAATGAGGGATCTATGGGATAATTTAAATAGGCCCCTTTACAAATAATATAATTGAGACAATATTCTTTCCTAATTTTTTAGGTGATTGTTGTTGTTCTTGTAACAGCCTTAAATGATTGGTCCAAAGAAAAACAATTTCGCGGTCTTCAATCAAAAATTGAAACAGAACATAAATTTTCTGTAATTAGAGATAGTAAACCTGTTGATATTGTTATTAATGAAGTATGTTTAAATTTAAATTGGGATTATAATTTTTCTATGACAAGTGAAAAGTATTATATTAAATTAGGGGGGGGGCGATTCGGATACTTATTTTGTACTGAAAAATGGACTTTTTTGGTTAAAAAATTAAATTTAATATTTAAAAAACCTTCATTGGACTCATAAACTTTGATGAGTAGACTACATGGTAGTGATGCTTGGGAAGAGAAAAACCCCGGTAATCGGGAGTCGGGAAAATTTCCTGATTCGGGAGTTGCAATACCCGAGAACCATTATTACATATTAAACTTTCATTGGACTACTAAACTATATTTTCCTTATTAAATTTAGATAGTTGTTGGTGATATTTGTAGAGTAAAATATGGGGATTTACTTCCAGCAGATGGAATTCTCCTTCAAAGTAACGATTTAAAGGTAAGAAAAAATTAAAATAATATTTTTAATAAATAATTAAAAGGTTGATGAATCTTCGTTAACTGGAGAGTCTGACCATATAAGAAAAAGTCCGGAAGTAGATCCTGTTTTACTTTCTGGTTTGTATTTTATTTTTGTTTTTAAAATTATTTTGTTTAAAGGAACTCATGCAATGGAGGGAAGTGGGAGAATGGTTGTTTGTGCTGTTGGGGTTAATTCACAAACTGGAATTATAATGACTTTGTTGGGGGTTACAAAAGAAGGGAATAATAATAATGGAAATAATGGAAATACTCCTCAAAATAATCAACATTCTATTAATAACAACAGAAAATCAACAAAAATTAATAATAATAATATTAGCCATAAATGTAATGGAAAAATAATTTATTTAGGGAGGAAATATAAATCTTTAATTACCCCCTCCCCCCTCCTTCCTCCTCCTTGAAGTCTATATTTTTAAAATTTTTTTAAGATAAGTTACACAAAAAACATTTACTTTTTCCTTTAATTTGTTTCTTAAAACTTTTTAGATTTTTTTTATTCTTTTGAAAAGAGACTGGACTAAATTATCTATCAAGATTTAAATAATCCCTTTAAATTTTTTAAAATTTAAAGTTTGTCTAATCTAAACTTTAATATTTTTAAGCATTAAATGGAATTAAAAAAGAAACAGCAAATGGCCAAATTGCAGCTTTTGCCCCTCCTTCAACAGCAACAGATGAAAGTTTAGGGCAAAATAATGGTGGAAGTACAGTGCCTTTAGCCCCAAATAATAATGTTGATGAAGGAACAACAACAGCAAGTACAAAAACAAAATCGGTGCTACAGGGAAAGGTAATACAAAGAAATTATAAACACTTAAACACTCTTTAACTTTAAAGTTATCATCATTAGCAATACAAATTGGTTATATCGGTTCAATTGTAGCAGCAGCAACAGTTTTAGTTATGATCGTTAAATATTCATTATCTAAATTTATTTGGGGGCCGCCAGAGGAGAGACAATTAAATCCAAATGATTTCTCTAATCTTGTAGAATTTATAATTGTTGGAGTAACTGTTTTGGTGATTGCTGTGCCTGAAGGCCTTCCTTTAGCAATAACTCTTTCATTGACTTATTCTGTTAAGAAAATGATGAAAGATAATAATTTGGTTAGGCATTTGGATGCTTGTGAAACTATGGGGAATGCAACAAGTATTTGTTCTGATAAAACTGGAACTTTAACTACAAATAGAATGGCTGTTGTTCAATCATTTATTAATGGTTAGAAGAATTAAAATATTATTGAGAAAATAATATTACTTTTAAGTTAAAAAAATATTTTTTTTTAAATTAATTATCCCTTCCCTCCATTTTTTTCCAATTATGTTAGGCCCACAAATTAAAGTAATTATGTTTTAATTAAATTTAATTAATTTCAGATCGTTTTTATCGAGAAATTTCTCCGAGTTGGTCTGAATTGGACAAAAAAACTAGAGAAATTTTGGTTGAAGGAATTTCAGTAAATAGTGGATATAATACACAAGTGTTACTTCCAACATTGCCGGGCATTCAAAAAACACAAATTGGAAATAAAACAGAATGTGCACTTCTTGGATTTACTTTGGATTTGGGGCAAAATTATGAACAAATTAGGCATTATTTTCCAGAAGAGTCTTTAATTAAAGTAAGTTTTTGAATTTAAAAATAAAATTAAAAGAATATGTAAATACTTTTAAATTCTTAAATTATGTTTAATTTATGTATAAGGGATTGTGCCGTCACTGACTCCCAAAAAATGGGAAGTTTAGGAGTCTTGATTTAAGATTTTGGACGTTGATAAATAATTTAATTTACATTGTCTGTATTTGAATGTTTATTTAGGTAGATACTTCATTGTTCCAATCTTTAATATTGACTTCCCTTCCTCCCTCCAACCAAAAAAATCCCTAAATTCCAAAAATTCCATAAAAACTATTTTTTAATGTTTTTTTCTTAAATTTCTTAAATCAAGTAAATTAAGAAAATAAAAATATATTTTTACACGAATTAATTTTAAGGTTTTTACTTTTAATTCTGTTCGAAAGTCAATGATGACTGTTGTACATAGAAGGGAAGGTGGAGGGTTTAGACTTCATGCAAAGGGTGCTTCAGAAATACTTTTGTGTCGTTGTAAATATATTCTTGGGGTTGAGGGAAATATTTTGACATTTGGAAATGAAAAACAAAAAGAAATGATTAAACAAGTAATTGAACCTATGGCCTCTGATGGATTGAGAACTATAGCTATTGCCTATAAAGATTTTGTTGGAAATAGTGAATATCCAAATGATGTAAGTAAATAAATAGGGAGGGAGAGTTTTAAATACCCATTAATTCTGAAGAAATTGAGGCTTTGACTAATAATTTTATATTAACGATTCTACATAGATTTTTTTAAGAAAAAAGTTTTTTTCTTTATTTAATTCTGAAACTTCTAAATTAAAAAAATATTTTAATTTAATTTTTAAAGGTTATTTTGTCTGAAGGAGAAAGTTCTTCAATTAATTGGGATGATGAAGAATCTTTGAGAGAAGGATTAACTTTAGTGGCTATTTTGGGTATTCAAGACCCTGTAAATTTGTTTTTCTTTTATTTAATTTAAATTTAAATTAAAGGTCCGTCCAGAAGTGCCTGAAGCTATTGCTAAATGTCAACGTTCGGGAATTACTGTTAGAATGGTAAGGAAGAAATTTAAAAAATAAGAAGAATTATTTTTAAAATTAAAGGTAACTGGAGATAATATAAACACAGCTAGGTCAATAGCTATTCAATGTGGAATTTTAAAGCCTGGAGATGATTATTTGGTTTTGGAAGGGAAAGATTTTAATTCTCGAATAAGGGATGAAAATGGAATTGTTGATCAGAGAAAATTGGACCAAATTTGGTAAAAGAGAAAAATAAATAATTTAGAATATATTAAAAATATTTTTAGGCCAAAATTAAGAGTATTAGCCAGAGCTCAACCTTCAGATAAATATATTTTGGTAAAAGGAATAATTGAATCTAAATGTACAAAAAACAGGTAAATTTAAATTAAATTTAAATTAAATTATTTTTTTTAATTTAAAGAGAAGTTGTTGCAGTAACTGGTGATGGAACTAACGATGCCCCAGCATTAAAAAAGGCGGATGTTGGGTTTGCAATGGGAATTGCTGGCACAGATGTGGCAAAAGAAGCTTCGGATATTATTTTGACTGACGATAGTTAATTTAAATTTAATTAAAAGAAATTAATTTATTTTTTAAAATAGATTTTACTTCAATAGTTAAAGCTGTAATGTGGGGAAGGAATGTTTATGATTCGGTAATTTTTTTTATAAAATTTGGGAAAAATATAATTTTTGGTTAAATTAAGAATAGGTATAAATTATGAGAGGTGAATTATGCTCTCAAAAATTATTTAAAATTTCCAAATTCCATTTCTTTCCCCGATAGTCCCTACTGGGGTTTAGTATATTCCTTTACCTAAACCGAAACCAGAACTTTAAAGGAATTCGGGACTTTCCAAAATTTACAAAAAATTAAGCAAATCAGGTTAAGTAAATACATTTTATTTAAGAGAAATTTATTTAATTGTAACATAAAAAATATCCCTAAAAAATATATTCTCTAAAAAAACTTCCATCCTCTTATTTCCTATCCTCTTCTAGTTAAAAAAAAGACTGGGAAACCAATAAAATAATCAAAAATATTTAAAATTATTTTTAAATTCCTTTCAAAAGATTGCAAAATTTCTTCAATTCCAATTAACTGTAAATGTTGTAGCAGTAACTATAGCTTTTGTCGGGGCCTGTTCAATTAAAAATTTACCTTTTCGAGCAGTTCAAATGCTTTGGGTTAATTTAATTATGGACACATTAGCCTCTTTAGCATTAGCCACAGAAATGCCGACAGAAGATTTGGTTAAGAAATAAATATTTTTTAAAGATAATAATTATTATTTTTAGCTTAAAAGAAAGCCTTATGGACGTACAAAATCATTAATTTCTCGAACTATGGTGAAAAGAATTTTTTTTTGATAATTTTAAAAAATAAAGATAATGTAAAATCGGCCAAGTTTCCTTTTAGCCTATTAAATAAAGAAAAAATGAAAACGATTTTTTGGTGAAGGGATGGAGTTGTCAATAATCTTGTATCGGATCAAGTCCCTTCTAATTTTTGTTATTTTCTGGGATGTGTTGGCCGCTTTATTATAAACAACGAAATTAGGACAAAATTAGAAAAACTCTCCATAGATCACCGGTCATAGGTCCTCACAATTCTTTTATATTTAACCAAAACCGCTTTTAATCTGGGCATAGCAAATTGAAGTTGTTTGAATTTTTAATAAATAAAGAAATATTTTCAAAGGTTAAAAACATAATTGGGCATGCAATATATCAATTATCTGTTCTTTTTGGACTTTTATTTTTTGCTGAAAGATTTATTCCCGGTTTGGAAGGAGAAAAAGCAAGAGAACAACCACATGAAGCACCCCCAACAAAACATTTTACAATTATATTTAATTCTTTTGTTTTAATGACTTTGGCTAATGAAATTAATTCGAGAAAAATACATAATGAAAGAAATGTTTTTAAAGTAAAGAATTTTTTAAATTAAATATATTTTCCTTCTTTTTTCTTTTTAATCTTCTTTACTTCAATCAAAAATAATTTTCTTTTCTTTTAAAAGGGACTCCTTTCAAATCCAATTTTTTGTATAATTTGGTTATTAACATTAATTTCACAAATTTTAATTGTTCAATTTGCTGGTGAATGGTTTTTTACAAAAAGTTTAGATTTAATACATTGGGGATTTTGTTTTCTTTTTGCTATTTGTGAATTAATATGGGGACAGGTAAACGGAAGGGAAAGAATATTCTCTTTAAATCTTCCTTTTACAGATAATAATAACAATTCCTTCAAATGTTTTACCCAAATTTTTTGCTTTTGGAAGAGGAGAGGTTAGGCCAACATCTATACTTGTTACTGGAGAATATGATATACCCGAAGTCTTTTAAATAAATTTATTTTTGTGTAAATTAATTTTTAAAAAAAGGTTCGACAAACAGCTGGACGTGAAATTGGCGGGGTGCCAGCAGGGAGTAGTGGGGCTAGACCTGGACAGATATTGTGGTTACTTGGACTTACTAGATTACAAACACAAGTAAATTTAATTTTTAAATTAAAATTGTTTTTTTTTTGTTTTTTAATGTTTTTGTTTTTTTTTTGTAAATTATTATTTTTTTAAAACCACAACTAACAATTAATTATAAGGAAAAAAAATCATTTTTTTAAATGCACAAACAAAAATATATTTTCTTTTTATTTTTTTGTTTTTGTTGTTTTTAGATGAGAGTTATACGTGCTTTTCAATCTAATATAAACAATTCACACCCATCTTCTTTAACAATCCAAGCTGGGGATAGACTTAGACAATCATATAGAAGATTGAGAATTGCTAAAGAATTAGAACGTAAATTTAATTTTTAATTTGTTTATTTAATTAATCCCCTTCTTCTTTTTTCTGTTTGGCACTATTTAAATAAAAATAATCACTTTGAGTGGATGCTTATTTTTTGTGTGCTGTGAATTTAAAAAAAAGTTAGTTAAACTAATAAAAAGAAATATTCTTAAAAAATTAAAAGAAGAAGAGGGAATTTATTTATTTATTTTTAAAAACAAATTAATTAAAAATAAAAATACTTTTTCAATTTCAAAGGCGCTAACGAACTACGCGCGGGCGGACCCGTACGAGTTTTGGATTCCTCCGACAGCCGTGACAAGAAGAAATCAGAATTCAACTTCACTTAATATTGAAAATAATAAAAGAAATGTAGAAAATGAAGAAGAAAAAGAAAATAATAATTAATTATTTTTAAACTCTTTCGAGCTTTTTTTATTTAAAAACTCCCCCCTTCCCCCTCCCCTACCCACAATTTATATCTTCTAAATCCTTAACTAAATATATACGGGTATTTTATAGTTTTATTTAAATTTTTTATTTTTTGAAAATTAAATTGAGGGGAAAAGAATATTTATATAGAGAATTTTTTTAAGGGGAAAAGAATTTTTAAAAAAAAGAATATTTTGATAAAAAAAATTTAGTAAAGGGAATAGTTGCTGTAAATTGTTTACTTTCTTATCATTTATACACTCTACTACTAATTTGTTGCCTTAAAAACGATTAAATTTTTATTGTCAATTCAATTTTGAATTGACACATTTTTATGTAAAAAAGTGTCTTTTTTTAATATTTTTCTCAATTAAATTTTGTAATTTTTTTGATACAAAAATTTATTTTATAAATATATTTTTTTATATTATTATTATTAGAGATTGGTACTTTTCCGTTATGGGGCCACACATCTAAAATGCTTAAAAATTACCTAAAAATGCAAGATATTAAGAGAATAAATGCGACCATACGTTGGGAAACTATATACGGATTTTATTTTCAAAGTTTAAAATGTGAGTAGGATAATTATTTAAAGAGAAGTTAGCAAAACTTTAGATGTACTTATTATCTTTTTGTAAATAACACAGTGTAATAAACTTTTAAAATTTATTTTTATTAAAAAATTTTTAAGACTACAACATTTTAATTTTGTATAGACGAAGTGGAAGGAGCTGAGTCATCATTTGTTGTTTGCAAAGCACGTTTAATATCAAAAGAACAAACAAAATTAAAAGGTAAAGAGCCCAAAAGTTGAGCAGTACCGGGAATTGAATGATGTGACGTTGAAATTCCTTTAAATTTTCTTTTAAAAAATTTGTAAAAATTTAATATTAAAACCATTATTTAAGCTAAATGGAAGTCCACACAAATTAATATCTTTTGAATTTTGTTGGGGTTGTCGACTGGCAACTTCTACTCGAAGCAGAGTCTAAAAGAAAATAATTTTTTTAATTAAATAAAAACAAAAGAAAATTTTTTTACCTCAAAACTTTCACTGTTAATTGATTCAGAAATGTCCATTTGATGCCCCCCAATATTTAAAACAGCCTTTCCACTACGCAAAAATTGTAATTTTCCAATTTTTGTACCTTCATTTGGAAATGATTCTAAACAATTTTTATTTTTTAATTGAGGTTCTTGAATTGATTTATTTGAAGATTTTTTTGGTTGTTGTTCATCTTCCAATATATTTTGCTTTCGTGTCTCTGCTATCCGCAATAAAGGAATAGAAGGAAGTTGAAAAAGAAGTAATTGATTATTCGAATCTTTAAAAATATTAAAAATTAATTTAAAAAAATTTATTTTCAAAACCATTTGCCAGTCTTTGTATTGTATTAGCAGCTGATTGGAATTTTTCTTCTCTTAAACAAATTTTTGATTGTTTTGAAGCTTCTTCCATTGCTAAGATTTCTTTCCTTAAAATAAATTTATTTAAAAATCAACCCCTCTTCTATTACAATTTTATATCTTTAATATCTTTTTGGTATTCTTCCCCATCTTCTTCCTTTCTCCTTTTTTTAATTATTCTATTAAATTGTTGAGCTTCATTATTTGGGAGAACAAATGGTAATTGTTCACATTTCTTTAAATCAGCAATAAACTAAAAATATGTTTGAAAAATAAATTTTATTTTTGAAAGTTCTTACACTTCCTCCACAAAGTTCATCTAACTCTTCGCGGTCCAATTCATCATCTGATTGCCAAAATTCCTCATAAAGATTTTCTGAAAGCTCCAATTTAATTTTCTTTTTCTTTGGCTTCTTTTCTTTATCTTTTTCATTTAATTTATCGTCATCTTTGGTGTCCTCCTGCAACGAACTTTCTAATTTCCCAATAATTTCCTCATCTAAAAATAAAATTTATAAATTAAAAGGACGTCAAAAACCTTTGTTTTTCAATCGAACCCCCCTCGTTCTCTGGTTTCCGAAAGCATCCTCGCCAATTCCCTGAGAAAAAACACCTTCAGAAGCAATGAATTGTTTTGCTGAACCGCCTCGTCCCTTTCCACGTCCAGGAGGCCTTCCACGGCCTCTACCCTTTTCACTTTTAACTGAACTTGACTCTCCATTAATGTGCTCAGATTTTACTGCATCAGAAGCATTAGGCCTTTTTAAACAAATTAAAAATTTGTGAAAAATATTTAAAAAATCTTTATGTTCAAGTTATATACCAGGGTACAACCAACAGAAAAATTCGGTATTCAGACTCGGAAAAATGATTTTTCCAGACATTTTTATTATTAAAAAATTTTAAAAATACTTTGTATCTGCCCACTTTGGCGCGAGAATACGACTCGCTGCGGCTGCAATATTTGGCACTACAATGCGTCTACTTCCACTATTCGAGTTTAAAGTTGTGCTTGCTTTCACACCTCGACCTCTATCTTTTGGCCCCATTACTAGATGATAACACTAAAAAAATAAATTAGAGAACAACAAAAAATGTAGAAATCTTCCTCTAATAAAAAATAAAAAACTTAACTTCTGACAAAATGAGTAATTTATCATTATTTGACATTTTGAAATGTAATAAAATGAAATAAAAGTTCGTTTTAAATTTTTCAGCTCAAAAATTTTTAAATTTAAAAAGCTTGGGATGCTGTTTAATTTTGGTTTACGTTAAATTATTAAACTTTAATTAGTTTTTTCATTATTGATTTTATAAAAATAATTTTAAAGTTTTCCATTGAATTTATTTTTTAGACTAATTTTTTGGTAAATTTAATATGCCAAAAGGTGAAAACATGGATTGCGGTGCTAATCTCATTTGTTCTAATGACATTCCTTCAATACAAACAGAATCTAGACAACGCCAAATACTTTCTAATAAGATCAATAATTATTATGAATCTGAAAATTATTCTTCCGATCAGAACTGTATGGAAAGAATGTACCTCTTTCTGGATGAATTAGGTTCTGGTGGTTTCGGGAAGGTTAAATTGGCAAAGCATATCCTCACAGGGGACCAAGTTGCGATTAAAATTATTGATAAGAAGAGCATTCCTGTATGTTTTATTTTTTTATCTATAATTACTTTTCCAATTTAAGAATGATTTACCGCGAGTATTCAGCGAAATGGAAGCCTTAAAGCTGTTGGCGCACCAGAATATTTGCCGTCTATTCCAGTTCCGCGAAACGGAAGACAGGTTAGTTTATGGAATTTTAATTAGTAATATTGATTATTGGTAAAATAATTTTAATCCTAAACATATAAACAATTGATTATTTATTCGTAGGTTTTATATTGTGATGGAGTATTGCAATGGTGGAGAGATGTTTGATTATATTGTTCGCAAAGAGCGGCTTGGGGAATCTGAGGCACGCCATTTCTTTAGACAGTTTGTTTAATTTTAACTTGTTTTTTTTATAAATTTTTTCTTACAATTAGACTGGTTCAAGGAGTGGCATACATTCATTCAATGGGTTTGTTGTGATTTCAATGGTTTGTTTAAAAAATTTAGGTTTTGCTCATCGAGATTTAAAACCTGAAAATTTGTTGTTGACCCAAGAGCTCCAATTAAAGGTGATTGATTTCGGGCTTTGTGCAAGACCTTTAAATGGTTTGACTAGGCCACTTGAAACTTGTTGTGGTTCCCCTGCCTATGCTGCGCCCGAACTTATCCAGGTAAATAATTCTGAATTAATTGCTGTAAAATTATATTTATTAGAATCAATCCTATTTTGGGAACGAAGCCGATATCTGGTCAATGGGTGTTTTGTTGTATGCATTGCTCTGTGGTACCTTGCCCTTTGGTTTGAAAGCGTTTTTTACTAATTAAAAGTTTTTAACAGATGACACAAATATGCCTCGATTGTACAAACAAATTACGGTAAATTTTATATAATTCTAGACGTTATTTTCATTCCTTTTAGCTGGGACAATATTTTGAACCTGATTTCTTGTCACAATCTTGCAAAGATTTATTACGTTCAATGCTCACTGTTGACCCAAAGAAACGTGCAACTATTCAACAAATACTTGTCCATCCATGGCTTAATTCCAATTATGAACAACAAATTAAATGGCAAAGTATTTATAATCGAGATGTTGTGGATGAAGAAATTATTAGAGAATTAGTTTGCTTTTTTAAAATAAATACCGATGATATGATCGCGCGAATAAAACAGTGGCGCTTTGACTATATTTGTGCAACTTATCTTATTCTTTTACAAAGGAGTATGTTTTTAAATAAATTTAAAGAATTTTCTTTTTTATTCAGAGGAGCAAAAAAAGAACTTTGCTCTTCCTTTCTACGATAAGAACTTCAATTGCAATTTTCCATGCTCGCCAACTATTCACTCTTCATTGGAAAATGATTTGGATTTATCTGGCTTTGAAGATATTATTAAATTCTCTAATTCCGATGAGGCAAATGAAATTATGACAGAGGTTTTTGTTTTATTTTTTTAAATATTTTTTTCTTAAGAAGTTGAAATCCTTGGCTCTACTTTCTCCACCTGTCTTCACAAATACAAAACAAATGCCTTCAATTGTTTGTTTCAAAAATAATTATATTTTTCGAAATTAATATAAAAGTTAACTTTTTAACTTATCCAGCCTTCCACATTCTCTCCATATGAAGGTGGTAAACAAGGCCAAAAACTTGACGCTAATTCCATCACGCCACGTAAACCACAGCAACGTAAACCTTCTTATGAGGCACCCACACATCATAGACCAGCACCTTCGAACAAAGGTGGTTGTAGTGTTTATACAACACCTAGAAGAGGCGCTGTTGAATTTCCTGGACCAATTGTAGGAGGATTTGCTTATCGCCGTCCGAATTCTGTGGATAGACCGCCTTCCTGTTTGTTTTTCAACTTTGCAATATAAAAGTCTTATTAAATTTTAGTGAGATTAGAGAAGAATGACCCTGCTGATGAAAATTCTCCACCAAGTCTTCATTTTAACAACAATACCCAAAAGTCCGAAAGTTGTGAAAGAAGATCGCGTATTGATATGTGCCGAGTTTATAACAGTTGTAATAACAATAGTAAACAGTTACAAAATAACAAATCACCGCATCGGTTCCGCCAACGCGTGTTTTCGTCATTAGAACGAAAAGCTGATAAAATGATTAGTTTGCTAACTCCAAAGAAGATTAAATCAGAAGCTCCAACTAAACTTAAATGTACAGAGGTAGTAGTTTGATTTGATTTTAAAAATTTAATTTTTATTTTATAGCCAATGGCTAACGTTTCGGTTACATCGTCTAGTGATCCAGTAAAAGTGCGTGAGGAATTGTGGAAGGTACTTTGCAATTTGGGAATGAATGCTACGCAGAATGGGTTTTTATAATACAATTAAAAACTTTTAATTTATAAAATAGATGGAAGGTTAGTGGATCTCGAAAAAATTCAAATAATCCGAAAAAAGATGCCACTGTCGAACTTGAAGTTGTTTCTATTGAGGGTTTACAATATGTTGGTGTGAAACGCAGAAGAGTTCATGGTGAACCATTCACCTATAAAAGAATTTGCGAAGAAGTAAGTCTTCTATAAAATATATAATTTGAAATTAAAATTTTAGGTGTTGCGTCTGGCTGGTCTTTAAAAAAAATAAAATTATAATAGTTAAAAATGAAGGTTGTGAAGGATTAATTAAAAAGTGGTATTTACGGGACGAATAAATTATCTAATATTTTATAAAAAAATAATTGGCGTTCTTTAATATTGATAAGTTCTGGAATTTTCAATTTTTTGTAATTTTGCTTTTTTAAAGAAAAATTCTAAAGACATTAAATTTTGAGAAAATAGTTTTAAAAATGAAATTTCTGGGTTTTCTACCAATAAACATTTCAATCAAAATTACTATTGAAAAATTCAGACTTTTGCTTTATTGATTATTATTGTTCCTACTTCCGCCGTTTGACTTTATTAATATGTCTCGCCGCTTTTACTATATTATATTGACTTTTAATTATTAAAGTATAATCCTACATGTCTTTAAATTGTAGATAGTATATAATAGTTAATTTTTAACTATAAAAATATTTTTTTTATTTAATCTATTTACATCTAGATAAACGAGATTTAATTTAAAAATTAAAATCTCTAATACCCTCTTTTGGTCTATAAGTTGTTACTAGTGCCTGTCTCCGGACACGGCTGAATTTTTCCGGAGTTCTGGCCCTTAATCCTGGGATTTTCTCGAGATCTTTGGACTTTTTATATCGGATTTAGGATCGCGGTTGTGTGATTTCCCATTTTTTTGTTCTGACAGCTTTCTGAAAAAAATACCGTCTGCGGCTTTTTGGCCTTATGGAATTTCCAAAATTTTGCATAGGACGCATGAAAGCAATTGCATTATTATACTCTATTTACGTCAATAAGACATAAAGTCAGCACCCAACGAAAGTGTTGCTTTTATCCTTCAGCGTTAAAATGGAACAATTTTATTTTTACGGACTATATTTTTTCTTTTTGGTTTAGATTTTTTGAGTATTTTTATAATTTCTTACAATGAACAACGAGCCAGATGTTAAGCGTGCTAAGATTGAAAATTCTGAAAAAGCAAATGATGATAAACAGGCAAAATACGTATTTAATTAAAAATAAATTTATTCCTTTAAGGATCATGGCACAGAAACTCAAAAAGCTTTAGAAGAGTTGGACAATGTGCAAAGTGCTTTGGACAATTTAAATGAGATTGCCAGCGAAGAAATTCTTAAAGTTGAACAAAAATATAATCAACAAAGAAAACCTTATTTCGAACAGCGAAGTGAATTAATCAAAAAAATTACAAATTTTTGGGTCACAGTGGTAAATTTTTGGTTTTGAATTTTTTGTTGTGAATATATGAATTTGTTTAGTTTATCAACCACCCACAAATTAGCTCCATTATGGAGGAAGAAGAGGAGGAATGTTTGCATTATTTGACTAAATTAGAGGTTTTTATTTTAAATTTTTAAAAATTTCCTAATTTGGGGCATTGTTAGTTTAACAGTTTTTTTAATTGCTTTAGTCAATCATGTTTTGTATTAAAGTCAAATTTTAGGACTTTGAAAAATTTATGATCAATAGATGATAAATTACAAAAAATTGTTTTTAATTTTTCATAACAAACCTCTCTCCTGAAATCCGAAACAATTTTCTATATTTAAATTCTTTGTATTTAAATTAATATTTTCTTTTAATTTTCTTCAGATTGAAGAATTTGAGGATATTAAAGCTGGTTATAAAATTAAGGTTTCTTTAAATTATTTAAATTTAAATTTTGTTTTTTTAAAGTTTACATTTGATGTCAATCCTTATTTTGAAAATACTGAAATTTTCAAAGAATATAATTGGTCAGGTGCTGACCCGCGTTGTTCTTCTACTCCAATCCAATGGAAACCGGGAAAACAAAAGGTAAAGGGAAATTTTAAATACCAAAATTCTTTTATTCCATTATTTTATTACAACATTTTGAGGTCGAAACTAATTTTTAAATTTAGCAATTAATGAATGGTGCTGGAAAGAATGGTGCAGAAAATAGAAGCTTTTTTAAATGGTTATGTGAAGAATCTGATCCAATGGCTGATGATATTGCTGAAGTTTGTTTTTATTTATTTATTAGGCTTTGATTAAAATGCTAACTTTCCGTAAAATGTTCTCATTTTGGTTTATTCAGAGAATTGTGGTCTAAAACATTAAAAGTCTCAAAACCATCGGGAATTCGAAATTTCTCGAGCATATGCAGTAAATAATATTGATGAATGTAATAATCATTCGAAATCTAATAATTTTTCACAAAAAAATTTTTTTTTAATTTTAAAGGTAATTAAAGACGATATTTGGCCAAATCCACTTCAATATTATTTGGCACCAGAAGTTGAGGCAGCTGACGAAGAAGGGTGTGAAGAAGACGATGATGGTGGTTTGACTGAGGAATATGGTGGATATGAAGATGGAAATGGTAATTTTGGGGGTGAATAGAAATTTTAAAGTAAATTTGGTTTTTTTGAGAAATTCAATCCTCCTCTATTTTATTGGTTTTAACAGTTCTATTTTTAAAATACCAAAATAAATATATTTTGATTAATTAATTGTATTTTTAGAATTAAATAAATAAACAGAACATTAAAAATTGACCTCCTCTTTCCCTACATTCATCTGCATATTTTTGCATTTTTTGTCAAGTTTAACATTCTCTCCCATTTTTCTTGCTTTTTCTGTTATGGGAATATTTAATAAACTATTTAATTGATATTAAATTTTTTTGAATTTCAAATAGGTTAAATAAAAAATTTAATTAAAAAAGCTTTGAGGAAATATTTTTCTTAATAATTCCTCGTAATGGTCAATTTTCTTTGCTATAACTTTTTAAAATGTCTTCAAATTTTTAATTTAATTTTGTTCTTTCCTGTTAACCGCAACAAATATACTTCAAAAAGAAATCTTCGTATTGTAGTCCAGCCTGTCCAATCAAAATTTATGTGCCCAATCGGTTCCTAGCCTACCATTTTTTCAAACGGTTAGGCTTGGAAAATAATTAGAAAATATGAGATAATCGAGACTCTGTGAAAATAGGCTTTATATTTTTACTTCTCACTTCCTTGGATTGGCTAGAATGGTCAATTTTCCTTGGTCCTTGATGTTTGATATTTGACGTAAGGAAAAATTGTAGAAAGAAAAGAAGGAAAAATAAGTGTGAACGACAGAAAGAGTTTGCAAAAGTTTAGCCACCGGGCAGGATTCGAACCTGCGACCACCTGCTAGTTGTTGCTAGGCGCTTTCGCTCACCATATGCAGGAGCTCTACCTCTGAGCTACCGGGGCATCGACTAATGCTTTCTCTTTTTCCTTTTTAGACCGTTTATCCCCCGCCTAAGCGTTTTAAATGCTGCTAGGTGAATCATCCTTACACGACTTAACCCATGGCAATAAGTGCCGCTCTGCGTTTAGAATCTAAGGTCCGGTAACTCTGAATGAGTAGAGCTCCCTATTTCCATATTTTCTAAGAATAACTAATATAATCGACTTTCAACACAAATTCTAAATAATCAAAAACAAAATTTTAACTTTTATTTATGAAAAAATAAAAATATAATTGCAAGGACAAATAATTATGACAAAAATTACATTTTAAACAAAATAAAGATTGCATTAATTAGTTTTAAACAATAATTTTACAAATAATTTGGACTGCTTTATAGTCGATGGAAGTTTTTATTTACAACTTCTCCTTAAATTGTTTTAATGTAAATTTAATTATTTATTAAAAGGGGGAAAAACATTTTTGGATGATATATTTTTTGATAAATTTAAACGTTCATTCTTAAAATATGAAAGATTGTTAAAGAAAGAAAATAGAGATTTTATTTAAATTTTGTTGAGAAAAAACGATCAAAGTTAAATTACTTCGGCAGGTGTGCTGGAAAATTACAAAACATTTTAATATTTTTTTAAATTAAAATGTGTAATAAATAATATATGTATATATTACACTAATAAAGCAAAAAATAAAAGCGAAATGAAGGAAGCCGAATGAATTTATGAAGTTAGGAAATATCTAGGGAACTATATTTCTTGCTGTAACCAACCAAATTAAAAAAAAACAATTTTATACCATCGTGTAGAAAATTATCAATCTCCTTCCTTAGGTATCTTATTTGTTTGTGACATAAATTCAACTAATTATTGGTTATAATTATTGGCTAAATTTGTTATAGGAAATCGTCCTTCCTCTATACGATAGTACAAAAATTTTTCGATTTGGTTGGTTACAGTAGGGTATAATTCTGATTTATACTTAAAACTACTATTCCCTGCGACAACTGGGCAGCGGCAGATCAGGTCGCAACCATTTAAAAAAATTTTAATATTCCATTCGTATCCCAACCCGCACAATCGAAAATCTGAATATGTATTAAAAATGCAGAAAAATTTTACGACACGGGCCACTCTGAATATTGTCTGGGTTATTTGACAATTACTGACATTTGATAACATCTTAACCAACCTGCCGAAATTTTTCAAATGACATATTCTTAAGTAACCCGTATTTAAAAATCTTTCAAAAAGCAAAAATACAAATATATAAAAATAAAACAAAAATTTAAAATAGGGGGGGAAACAAAAGAAATGCCCGACAAAATTATTTTTGATAAGTTTTTGCATAAATCTTTTTGCAGAAAAAAGAAGAAAATTTAATAGTAGATAAAATATATTAATAGATAAAATTGCCTTAAAAACAAAAAGAAAATCAAACATTTTTAAATAACAAAAATCAATACAGACAAGTGTAATTAATTAATTACCCAAAATTTATTTTAAAATTCCAGAACTTATAGTTAATGAATTATCTAAACCATTTCCATTACCAGAAATAATTCCCCCACCATTTCCACCCAATGGAGCTCTTGGTAGCCTTCTACGTAACCAAGGATGTTTGAGCGCTTGCATCGGTGTTAAACGTGCATCTGGATCCCAATCCAAACAATGCTTTAAAAAATCCAAAAAAAGTTCATCTGCCTAAAAAATTATTTAATTTTAAAAATTAATAATTTGTATTTTTGACTTGATTCTTTAAAGCATTTTGCATTGATCTAGATGCTGGAGGGCCTCTTAATTTTCCTCTTTTAGATCTCCCACCAGTTAAAACCTTTAATAAAAGTTTATATCAAAATTTAATTTAAATAATTAATTTACAGTAGTTCCATCCATTAATTGTGTTACTTGACAATAACGAGGATGGCCTTTGGAAGTAAAAAAGTTTTTTGTTCTTTTTCCACCCTCCAAAAGTTTGGAACTAGGCATTCCCAATAGTTCAATTATGAGGGCTAATTGGTCTCCTTCATCCTCCCCTGGCAAGAGGGGATAGCCGGTAAGTAACTCAGCCAAAATACATCCAAGCGACCACATATCGATTGGCATTCCATATTTTGCACCGAGAATAACTTTAAAAAAATAAATTTAAAATTTGAGGGAATTATAAAGGATTCTTTCACAATTCCCCCCAAATTTTAATTTAAAAAAACACCTTCCGGCGCCCGATAAAATCTCGATTGAATATAAGAATATATCCGTTGATCGTCAAAACAAGAAGACCCAAAGTCGATAACTTTTATTGAGGAACGATTTGGAGTTTTTAACAAAACATTTTCTGGTTTCAAGTCACAATGAATTAAACGATTTAAATGCAATAATTCTAAACATTGAAGAATTGAATGGGCAAATTTACGAACAAGCTAAGAAAATTGAAAAATATTTTTATATTTATTTAAAACTTACAGCCAAACTAAATCCTTGAAATTTATTTTTCTTTATTAATTCGTAAAGATTAATACTGAGACATTCAAAAGTAATACATTTGTGATTTCGAAAAGTAAAATGATCCAACATGTGAATAACATTAAATACACCATCAACATCTTGTTTCTTTAAATGATCCAAAATTCGAACTTCTTCTTCTGCCTAAAATTAATTTTACAAAAATAATTCAAAAATATTCTTTTTTACTTGTCGATGAAAACGTTTCTCATTTCTAACAATTTTTAAAGCAACATACTTAAAAATAAAATAAATATTATTTTTTAATTTAAAATAATTTTTACTTGTTGATATTTGTGATCAAAAGCTTTAATAACCTTTTTTAAAGAAAAATATAAAATTTATTTATTTTTTTCTTTTAATTCAATTTACCTGCCCAAAACTTCCTTTTCCAATAATTTTTAAAATTTCATATCTATAAGCAATATGATCGTGTAAAACCAAAACATAAGATCCATTTTCGTCATCAAAATTATTATTATTAGAGCCCCCAACCACGCATTGACGTTTCTTTGCTTGAGAACCAACAAAATAAATCTTTAAAAAATTTGTGAAAGAATTCTCTTTAAACAAACCCGTTGATAATTGTAAATTTCTGTACTTTCAAAAGGGGTGAGTTTTGAGGTAAAAATTCTAGTTGCATCATCTGGTCGATGTCCTTTAGTTCCCAAACTGACTTTTAAACCCTAAAAAATTAAAAAAATAAATTTATAAATTTTTTCCAAATTTTCTCTACTTGTGTGGACGAGGAAGAGGCAGAAGAGGCTGTAGAGGAAGAAGTTGCTGGTAATTGAACATTTGCCGAAGAAGGCTCATGTCCAATGCTGACAGCCCCCTCGGCAATAGCTATTGTACCCGAGGAAGGCAGTTTGACTTTAAAAAAGAAAGAAAATAAAAAAAATATTTTAATTTAATTTTAAGAATATTTTTGCTAATTTTGTATATTAATTCCCAAAACACGTGAAACAATTGGGGATGACAAAATAAAATTAAATAAAAAAAAACAGTTGTTTTTATTTAAAAGACACCAATTTTTGCAAAAATATTTTTTAATCTTTTAATTTAAAAATTCTATTTTTAAATTAAAAGTAAAAATAATCAATATATAAAGTTAAAAATAAATAAATATTTATTTTAGTAATGAGTCACATTTTTTAAATTTTTAATTAATTCAAAAATAAATTTCTTTCCTCTCTTCCCCTTACCTTTATTAACTAATAAATTGTCTCCAACCAAATGAGAACAACCACCACCTCTACTATTGCTGATATTTGCTACAAAAGATGAGGAACAAGGAGAGGAAATATTAATTGTTGAATGATTGTTGATAGAAGAGGATTGGTCAGCAAATGAAGAGAAATAATTATTTTTAACTTTGGCCTAAAAATAAATAAAAAAAATTAAAAAAAAACTATTTTTTTAAAAAATTAAAAAAATTTATTTAAAAAATAAAAAAAGAAACCAAATCTACTCGTTGCTCTGTTTTATTTAAACTGTTGCATTGACATTCAATATTATTTTGTGTTTGTTGGATAAAAGAAGCTTCTGAATTTGGAAATTGTTTTTGTTTTGTAGAAGGAGGTGAAGATTTTAAATTTAAAGAGGAAGTGTCAACAACACTGGATGAGTTTGTTGGTGGTTGGAAATTAAGCAAAAATGAAGAGGGAATATCTCTAAAAAATTTAATTTAAAAAATAAACTTTTCCAAATTTTACAACAAAATAAATAACATAAACTAAACACACAAATTAAATATAAAAATATTTAACAAAAAAAATAAAAATGGTCAAAAACAACTTTTCCAGTAAATTGATTTTTATTTCCCTCTACTAATGTCTCTTTATATGTGCTAAAGTGCCAATATGCAAAGCACGCAGCTTTACGTGTGGCGTACGCCAATTTATGTCCCTTGAAATAAAATTGGCCTGGAAAGGATAAAAGAAAGCTTTTTCCCTTTTTCTAATAGAAAAGATAAAAAATAGAGGGAGTAAATAAATACATATACCGTATTTCCTATATTAGAGCCCCATGGGGCTCTATTTTTCAACTATCCTCCAAGGTGGGGCTGTATTAAAGGGTGGGGCTTTAATTGAGGGTGGGGCTCTATTTTTCAACCCTCTTTTGAGATAAAATCCCATTTATTAAATATCCATTGCAACTAGAGTTAGGCCGGAGGGGTGGTCGATAAAACCGAAAAATATCGAACGAGGATCGAAATTTTCGATTTTTCACAAAAATTAAAATTTTATAAGCAATGAATAACAAAATAGTAGCAATAGTTCAATGAGAGTAAGATCAATTATGAAATTTTGGTAGATTTGGACGGGTTAAGGGAAATATTAGGGGACCAGTATTTGACATCGATGGATCAAAGATATAATAGTGGATTTTAAGGGATTATGGTGAATATAAGCGGATTAAGTTTATATTGAGAGATTTAGCGGGATTAAGAGGAATATTCTGGACTAGGGGTAATAGGAGGCATATGAAGTGATTTTGTTTGACGAGGCTCTGGAACAGGTTCCAGAACTGGAACTGAAGAAATTCAAAAAGCAGTTCCAGAACTAGAACTGGTATATCCCCATGATCCCTCCTCCTCCATGATCACGAATCATCGATATCCCTCTTTCTTTCCTTAACTCTCTTAATACATCTATAAAGTTATTTGGATATTTTTTCCTCCAAAATTTTTTAGGTGGGGCTGTATTTGGGGTGGGGCTCTAATTGAGGGTGGGGCTCTATTTTTCAACTAACCTCCAAAGTGGGGCTGTATTAGAGGGTGGGGCTCTAACAGAGGCTGGGGCTCTAATATAGGAAATACGGTAAATTTACATAAAGTAGATGAAGTGTCCGAATTTGTCCGAATTTTCTGACTTATGTAGTAACTGTTACTAAACAAGATACAAATACATTCTTGTTGTCTCATTTAAAGTAAAAATTGAAGAAACCTTATAATTTTGGAACAGAGTGTATTAAAAAACTAACTAGGTCATTCCATATATTAAGAAAACGATTAAAAGAAAAACCCCTGACCCTCGAATAAATTCCCTTATTTTTTCCTTTCGAAAAAGAAACCCAAATCAAAAATATTTAATAAAAATTTTATTAAAAAAAGAAAAATTTAATTAAAAATAAAGTTTAATTTTCAATTGGCTACTTTATATTTTCGGCCAACAAAGCATGGCTATTTATTGACTAAAAGTTTAAAAAAAAAGAAAGTGAAGAAAAATAAAAATACTGCAGAGAAAAGAAAATATCCCCGGTTTATGTTAAGCAGAGAATATGGCTGTTTGTTGGAAGAAAAGTGAGGGGACACAACACTAAATAACAAGCAGTAACTAAACTAAACAACCAATCATTGGCAAATAATATAAGTATATAGAATGGCCTACGGCAAATTATTAGCTGGAAATATGAGAAAATAAATAGGGAGTTTATTGTTTAAATCAGGGCTCTCATCGACAAAATACCAATCAAGAGTACAAAAATCTCGATTTTAAAGTACATAGGGACAAAATTTCCAAATTTAAAGGACACTCAAAATTAAATTACAAAATATTTATTCGCCCTCAAATCTTTTATACTATTTCTCTGCTAAATGAATTTTTCTAATAATCTCTTGTTTCCACTGAGCATTTTGTGCATTTCATACACGCCATGTCAAAATTCGCTGTCACAAGAAGTAAAGCCCTGACAGTCTTAACCTCAAGCAAGCTACTTTCTTACGTCCATTTTCAACGCCGCAGGCGAAAATTTTGGGAAATTTCGGGGTTCTTAAGACAGATTTTTTCCATTTTTAGCGCCGCAGGCGAAAATTTTTTGAAATTTAGACCCAAGAAGCTAGATTTCTTCCTTTTTCAGCGCCGCAGGCGAAAATTTTGAGAATTTCTAAGGCCGTAGGCCAAAAAAATTCACTTTTTTGCCCAATCCTTCCCTAATATCATTTTCAATCCAAAATGTTGATTTTAAAGTACATACTTTCAATAAAGTACAAATTCAATTTTGTAAGTACGGAGGTCGATTTTAAAGTACTGTACTTTCAAATAAAGTACGAATGAGAGCCCTGGTTTAAATAAATTTAATAAAATTAAAAAAAAATTTAATTTTATTTATAAAATGGAGGTCATTTAAATTGTGTGGATATTATACAAGAATAAAAATGAGAGAGAGTAGACATCCCCTTACTCAAAAATGCACAAAATCAATTTGTAGCTGACAACAATTTTCTTCAACAAAGCAAAATGAATTGGTCAGTATATGGATTTGTGTAAAAAGGATTGGAAAATTTATAAAATTAAATTTAATATTTGATTTGCCCAATCTTTACATAATTTTTTAATTTAATTTTTACGGCTTTTTTAGAATTAATTATTGTGAAGTCCCAGCAAAGAAATTGCTACCAAAAAAATATAAAATTAAAAAATAATTGGAATAAGATTAATACAAATTTAAGAAAATATGAAATGGAAAGATAAATATTAATTGAGTTATGGTATATGTATAAAATATATTTATTTTCTAAATAGATATTTTCAAAATTAATAAAATTCTTAAAATTAAAAAATTTTTTAAAGAAATCAATAAATAAATAAAAAATGTAGACCACCGGTCATTTCAAGAAGACAGGTGGGGGAGATTCGAAGGATGAGGAAATGATGAATACAACAAAATAATATAAAAAGAGATTGAAGGGAGGGAGAGGAGAAGGATGGCGGAGCTAGGAGCAAGCAAGCCAAGGTTAAAAATCGGACGTACAAAGCAAAGCAACGGTGACAACAACAAACACACATTAAGGGGGGAAGTGGACGATAGTGAAGTAAATGATGAAAAAAAGGAGAGGAGGAGGGAGGGGATGTTTTAGTAGAAAATCAATGTTTTTATTAAATATTTGGAAGTATTAGAAGATGAAAAAGGGAAAAAATATTTTTTTTGTAAAAAATTTTAGAGAAAAAAATTAAAAAAAATTCTCTTTTGTTAAAAAATAAATTTATTTAAATAGTTGCAGATAGGTAATTAATTTTTTTTCAAATTTTACCTAAAATTAATCAGAATAAAATTCTTTTTCCCTTTTTTATTAAAAACCGAACATACAGTCGTGGAAAAAAGTATGGAAGCGCTAGAAAATTTTCTCTTAATTTTTAATTTTTCATTCAAAAAATACGTTCTATATACCAATCAAAAGCTCTATTCGTATCTCAGTTGACATGTTTCTGCATTTTTCATGAAAATGAAAATTGGCCGAGATAATCCGGATCTACCGGATATACCAAATCCCACTTTTTCGGAAAAATTTTTCGGAACAAATTTAACAAACCCAAATGATAAAGTATATTTTTCTGAGTATTTTCTACAAAACCGCTAAGGAATATCTTTTTCCGAAGCAGAGATATGATTTTTTAAAAATGGCATTTTTCGCTTAAAAATTGAATTTTTTGCAAAAATAGACGAAAAATGCGATTTTCAAAAAATCATATCTCTGCTCCGGAAAAAGATATTTCAAAGCGGTTTTGTGGAAAATACTCAAAAAAATATACTTTATCATTTGGGTTTGTTAAATTTGTTCCGAAAAATTTTTCCGAAAAAGTGGGATTTGGTATATCCGGTAGATCCGGATTATCTCGGCCAATTTTCATTTTCATGAAAAATGCAGAAACATGTCAACTGAGATACGAATAGAGCTTTTGATTGGTATATAGAACGTATTTTTTGAATGAAAAATTAAAAATTAAGAGAAAATTTTCTAGCGCTTCCATACTTTTTTCCACGACTGTATTTTTAAAATAAAAGATTTTTTTAAATAATTAATAAAAAGTAGATAAGTCGAGGGGAGGGGAAGAGGATTTGTTGTCTTGACAACTAAAATAAATAAATATATTATAGCTTTTTTTTTAATTTTTAAAATGAGAGAGAAAAGGAAGAGATTTATTTTAAAAGGTTTCGGAATTAATCAGAAAATTATATTTTAATAAAGCCTTCACAATAAAAATTGTGTTTACATTTTTAATTTTAATAATTCAATACTAAAAAAAAGAAGAAGATAAAATTAAAGAAAAAAAGAAAAAGAAAATTATTTAAAAAATCTTTTAGATAAATAGGTACATTAATTTTTAAAAAATTTTTAGTTTTCAAAGACAATATTTTTATTTACGGACTTGTATACTTAAATAAAAAAACGACTGTTAATTACAGTTTAGCTTAGTTAAAAGTATAAATTAAATTACTGTTACACAAAAAGAAAAAAAAATAAATAAATAAACCCACATAATTCTTTTCTTTGATTTTCGCGGTCTGATCCAAAATAATAAATTTCTTTCAACAGTTCTGCCACTTTTTATTTTGCTAATTTGAAAGTGAGTTTTTAAATTAGTAGATGATTTTGAATTAATTTGTTGTTGTTGTTGGGGTTGTAACATTTAAATAAAACTTTTAAAAGAAAACAAAAAAAAACAATAAATATATTAAACAAATAAAAGATTTAAAAATCAAATTTAACAAAAAAAAGAGAGAGAGGACTAAACACAAAAAAAGAGAATTTAAATATTTAAAAATATCAGAAGAAACCCACTTATTAAGCGATTCATTACTTGAGCATTTATTTTGAAGCAATTTTTTGGCTGAAAATTTGTCTAAAATTGAATTTGTGGCATTCTGTAAAATTGAAGAAGAAGGCGCCAATTCAATTAAACTCGAGGAGAGTGTGTGGGTAGGGGGCCTTTTAAGGGAAAATAGTGTTTCTGACAACTTTTTTCGAATTGAAAAACGTTCGCTGTTTGGTGAATTTTTTCCAATAAATGGCTCTGCACTACATAAACGTGAAATTAATGAAGTTGTTGATTGATTAGTTGATTTTGTATTTGGTGGATAGTTATAACTGCTAATAATGCCTCCTAAAAATTAAAATTAAAATATTTAAATAAATTAAATAATTAAATTATACCTTTTGTTTTAAACTCATTATTAGTACATTTATTATCACCAAATAATTCATTTTCATGCATTTTTTGTTGTTGTTAATTTTTAAAAATTAATTTTTATGAATAAATATATGTATGTTTATGTTTGTTATTTTAATGTCTGTATTTACTCTTTAAAAAACATTTAAATTTTAATTTTTATTAATTTTAAATATTTAATAATTTATTAAAGCTATGAAACATTCTCTTTATTTTCAATTTTTATGTATCTCTTCAAAATAGGGGGGCATTCAAGCGGACATTGGTTGGATTATATAAATATTAAAGAGGTGTAGAAGAAAAAGATTTATCCAAGTGCTTAGGAGTTATAGGCAAACTGTGCCGCGGGCATCAACGTGAATGCCATTAATGTGCCACTAAAACGGCATAAAGCTGTTCTAAGGCAGCGCGCATATGCACAAATGCCGTTTTTTGCCTTAAAAAAGAATAAAAAGAAAATCTTTACTGAATATATTTTTGTATTTACTAATTTTAATTTTTAAAAATTTATTTTTTTTTATTCTAAAATTTTATTTGTATTTCTTTAAATAAAAATATCAACTAAATAAAAATATTTTAATTTGCATTTTAAATTTTTAAATTACAGTAGTATTTCCTGTATTTTTTTGAATTTTTTCTTGAAACGAAAATCTGAATTTTTATTAAATGATCTTTAGTTGACAGAATAATAAACATTTTTTGTCAAGTTTTAATCAAAAATTTATTCGATTTTGATGCTTTTTTTCAAATTTTTTAACTAAAAATATTTTTATAGATAATTAAAGGCAATTATGGGTATTTCTGATAATGATGTTCAAAAACAATTACGCCACATGATGGCATTTATTGAGCAAGAAGCTAATGAAAAAGCTGAAGAAATTGATGCTAAAGCTGAAGAAGAATTTAATATGGAAAAGGTTTGGAAATAAATAAATAATTTTTAAATTTTTCTTTTCAAGGGTCGTTTAGTTCAACAGCAACGACAAAAAATAATGGAATATTATGAAAAGAAGGAAAAACAAGTCGAACTTCAACGAAAAATTCAGGTTATTTTTAATTAAAATAAATTAATTTTAATTATTTTTTAGCGTTCTAATATGCAAAATCAAGGCCGTCTTCAATGTTTAAAAGCTCGGGATGAACATGTTAAGAGTGTTTTAAATGAGGCCCGTTCTAATCTTTCAAAGATTTCTGCTGATCGCAATCGTTATCCGCCTATTTTGAAAGGATTAATTTTGCAGGTATTTTTAGGAGACAGTCTTGTTTATGCCCATTTTTTGCATGTTATCCTTTATAAAAAAAGGAAGATTAAAATTATCAGACTTTCCTCCTTTATTTCACTCTCCTTAGGTGTACTTAATAAGAGAAATTGATTCAAAAAAAATTTAATTTTAATCAAAACAAGTAAAGAATTTACATTATTTAATAATTAAGAATCCTAAATATTTCTACAAATATCTCACAAACAATTTAATAATTCTACAAGTTTTTCATTTATTTTTAAGGGTCTTTTTCAATTGTTGGAGAAACAAGTAGTAATTCGTTGCCGTAAAAGTGATGCTGATTTGGTTGAGCAATTGTTACCTGAATGTATCGAAGAATTGCAAAAAGCTTGGGGTGATACTTCACAGGTTTGTTGCTTTTTTTAAATAAATAATTTATTTGGTATCAAATAAAAAAGGGGGTGTCCCTATATTTTTTCTCTTTCCTTTTCTCAAGGTTAAGGACCTAAAATTGGTATTAGAATCTGAGAATATAGGAACCAATCCCGATTTATGAACAAAATTTGGTATTGGGTTTTAATTTAAAAAAATTTTGATTTAAAAATATTAATTTTTAGGTAGTTATTGATAATGACCAATATTTGTCTCCAGAAAATGCTGGGGGTGTTGAGTTATTGGCAAGAAATGGCAAGATTCGGTTATTTTATGGGAAATATTTTTTTTTAATTTTATAATTTTTTTAGTGTTTCTTCAACATTAGAATCTAGATTGGATTTAATTGCTGATCAAATTGTTCCACATATTCGAACGGCTTTGTTTGGACCTAACCCGAATAGAAAATTTTTTGATTAAAGAAATTATTAAAATAAATTTAAATTACTTTTACTATTATTTTTTTAAAAATAAATAATATATAGGTGTAATTAAATAATAAAAAGATTAAATTCTTGTGAGAAAAAAAGAATGAAATTATTTTTAAAAAAAATTGGCTTTACATTTTCTAAAAAAATCAAACCTCGTAAATAGAAAAATTGTAAAACAAGAAAAAAACATCTCTTCTAATATGTCTTGAGATATATATATCTTGTTTTTATGGAAACGGCGAAACAAATTAGGAAAAGATATTATGTGGGTCGCATTTCCTTATTGGTACCGTCAAATCCAGCCCCAGGTTGCCTCAATGCCAGAAATGGAATTCCTTCCGCCGAATTCCGACTTTTTTGCTCTTACCAGAAAATCTTCTCAAGGCTCACAGTCAGTCTAAAAATGTCCATATCCGGTCCCAATATCCAAAATTTCCGGTTCTGATATTAAGACTAGTTTTTTCAGTCATTATTTTGGGGGTGAAGTCTTGGTCTTTGTCACTTGTATTGTATTTTTACTGTAATTATTATGTAATACTATTGTATATTTAAATATATTTAGAATAATCAAAATTCGAATAATACAAATAAAAATTTAAAATTAAAAAAGAATTTAATAATTTTATATAATATTTATTTAAATGTAAGAAATATAGCAAGCAGCTCCTTGTGCAGGGAAATATCCTCGAACATATGCTTAAATTAAAAATAAATATAGCCAAATTATTAAAAATATTTACCAAGTATTTCGCATTTAAATTGGAATTCCCCGACTTGATATAAATTAACTGCTTGACAGTTTTTATGAAAACAAGCAGCTTTACATTCATCTATATCCTACAAAAAATATTCAAAGAAATTTAAAAAAATATTTCTTTTTTCTAACTTGAACATCATTAATTTCATATATTTTACCACCTCTACATTCTGTTTGTTGCATTAAATGATAAGGTTTATCATTTACATATTGAATTTGTGGAAGTGCTTAAAAGGTATAATAAAATTAGGGTTATTCACTACTTATTAACCAGTACCCCCCGGGTTTCAGTTTTGAGTTGTAGACAAATACCGGTATTTTGTGGGAATATTTTATTAAATTTTAGTAAATATTTTGTGGGAATTTTTAATAAAATCACTAATTTTCAGAAGTTTTCGGTTTTTTAAATTTTGTAAAAACGGTTAATTTTTGGCAAAAAATATCAAAATTTTCGTTTTAAAACCGGTCGTGAACAACCTAAATAAAATATTAAAGCATTTATTCTATTTTTGAGTAAACACAATTATCGGGGGTTGCTGTTTCAGCTTAATTACCCCCTCGTCCTCTCCCTACTTCCCTTACACACAAACTTAAATTAAAATCTAAACAAAAGTTCTTACAAATACAACAAGCAGCAAGTCCAACCAAAATTGTTAATGAACACAAAGGTGAACACATATTATTAAGGATAGATAAATATCGAGAAGGAAATAAATGTTTAGTGGGAATTGGTGGAATAATAGAGAAAGTTTTATAATTCATATTTTAATGTTTATATATTTATTTCCTTTTTAAAGTAAATATATAATTAAATGCCAATGTCAACAACAATAATTTTTATTTATTTTTTATTATTTCTTTTTTTATTAATTTTAAAAGAATTATTTTATATTCATTTTAAATAAAAGAGAAAATGCTTATAATAAAAACTATTAAAAAACTTATTATATTTAAATAAATAATAGTACAATTATTAAAAGATAAAAGGAAATGTTGGAAAGGAAAACAATACTTTCTTTTATAATTCCCGAAAATTTGAATTATAAAATATAAAAATGTTAATTTTATTTAATTTAAAGATAATCGCCATTCTCTCCAATCAGTCCTGCTCCACAAAAGTATCAGTTAAATTTTCAGAAAATTTGCATAACTGCAAACGAAAAAATTTCCGAAAGGAGTGGACATACATGGAAATACATATACTTTTGTGGGGCAGTGTATTTAGGTCATTTTTTTTATTTTAATACTAAATTTTTGGCAAAAACATTTGTCTTTACATAAATTTTATTTTAATACTTATCAGATCTATTTATATTTAGGTCATAATTTTGGACAAAAAATAAGATAAATTATATTTCCTAATTTGAATTAGAAACCGAAATACTAAGGACAATGGTAACGTTGCAGCCCGACCTTTCAGGGTCGGGCTGAAGACCTCTGGTCGAGATTTAGAATATTTGGGTCGGATTCGATTAAAGTGTTGGGGTTGAAAGGAAAAATATTGAGAAAATTTAGCTTAAAATATTTATAGCCTAAGAGTTCATAAATTCACTTTCTTATCGAGTTAGGCAGAATTAATGGAGATAATTAATGGTCAGTAAACTAAGAAATTTTGGATTAAATAGAAGAAAACTCGCCTATTTAGCTTTGGTCTACGAATTCACAATTTTCAGAAGGACGAGAAGTTAGACGAAGTTGGATTTCTTCATTTTTAACGTCGCAGACAAAAATTTTGGAAGGCTTAGCAAAAAAATTAAATCTTAAGTAAAAAATATTTTGCATCTTTAAAAATCCCTTGCTGATTTTTCTTTTTTGTTTTAAAAAATAGACCCCCCCCCCCCGAATTACAGCCACGAAAGATTAGGATTTTTATAACTCGCACTTTTATTACAGATTTTATACTTAATTAAATTGAAGTTATCCTCAAACAATTTTTATTTTAGTAGGGATAATGAAATATTAAATTAGGCATAATTTTAACATAAGTCATAAATATTAAAAAGAAACAAAATAAAAATATTAAAAAAAGGGGATTTAAAATTTTAATATATTTATAAAAAAAACTCTTTTGTGTTAAATCTGGATTTTCAACAAGAAATTCTACACAGGACCTTTTGATCTCTCATTTCCCTTTATTTTTCCGGTGCAGCAAATATTGTTAAAATATTTTCTCTCATTTTTAAGTTATTTTACTTTCTCTTTTTTTATTATTGGGACAACAAAAATATTTTCAGTAAAAATAAAAGAGAATTTTAAAAAGAGAGAGAGGGAAAAGTTTGACTGAGCAATTGAGTTGAAACAACCGGATTTGGGGATTGGATTTGTGAAATATTAAAAGAGGGTAATTTTTAAATAAAATCAATTTTTAATTACAAAATTGATTTTATTAGGAAAAGTTCTGAAATTAAAAGCCTTTCTCTAGTAATTTTTCTAGACTTTCAAATTAGATAGAAATTTCCCAAAAACTTTTCGTAAAAAGTTCAATCCTTATATTTTAGTAAATTTTTAAAAATATTTTTTTATAAAATTTATTCAAGTATTTTTTAAAATTAAATTAACACACAATGATATGTTTTGTATTCTAAACAAAAAATAACAATTTATTATTTTATATATTTAATCATATGTATTAGCTAAAATATTAACAACCAAAGTTGTCCAACCCGTAAATGGATGTGTCCCAAGACCCTCACCATTTGTATCATTATAATTCTCCCAGAAAAACCCAGTTTTTGAATATTGATTTGCTATATTTTGTACTAAATTTGAACGAAGTTGTAAGTAAAGTTCATTTGCTAAATGTGCATATTGACCATCAGATTTTGAATAATGATTTAAAGCATCCAAAGTTAAATAGTTCATCTATTAAAATAAAAATATTTTTTAAAATTAATTAAAAAATTAACATTTATCCAAATGGGCGCTCTCCAATAAGGTTTATTATGTTCTGTATTCTTAACCATATAATATGAAGATTTTTTAGAAAGTGAACGAAGACCAAAATTTGTCCATAAATCCTCTGTTCTATTTAATGAATTCAAAACTACTCCCAATTTTGGACTGTCAGAAGGCAAAAGTTTAAGAAGTAAAGGAAATAAATTAACATATCCAAAAACATCATCAACAAAACGTAGATGAGGTTCCTCAATTATTTTTCGTTGTAATTGTATTTCTTGGTCACTTAATTTAACAGGAACCTTGAAAAAATAAAAAAATTTATTTATAAATACAAACAAACCATCTTAAATTTATAACTATGCAAACCAAAATCAGAATATTGCTGTTTTTTCTCATTCCAATGAAGTTTATCAAGTGTTGTAATATCTCCAAATTCTTTAATATCTTCTTCTACTATTGGCACCCAATCGGAATCGTCGAACGTTTCAGCTAATTGTCTAATCATTTTTGAACTGAGAGCCATCCAACAACGCAAATCTAGATGGTATTCTTCACGAGACGGATTTGATGCTCGGGGAAAATCGTCTAAACCACTTGGTAATGTCATTGGGTTAACTTCAAGATTTGTGGTTCTGTTACGGCTCTAGCATTTTTAAATATTTTCTCTAAAAAGAAAAGGCACCTGCCATTGCATTGTGCCAAACTTCGGACCACGTTGAGAATCTCTTAACCAAATATACCAACGTTTTAAACGTGGATAAAGAGCATTAATTCGTTTTTGATGATATTTAAATAACTTGAATTATGGAACAAAAAGGCCAGTAACATTATTTAAAAGTTGAAAAAAAACCTCGGAATTCCTCAAGAATTTATCCAATAGAAAGAAAAACATAGGCGGGTTAGCCACTTCTGGACTTTGAACCAAAAACTCTGAAGGTATTCGTGCTCGTGCCTCATCATCCAAAACCAACTCTCGTGGAATCCAGCCATCAACATTCATCGTGTCAAGCCAAGACGCGATAATCTGTAAAATTGAAAGAATTATCCGATGTTTAAGCTAGTCGTCTAAACAAAAATATAAACCTGTAAGGTTAATAAAGGATCAAATTTTCTTATCAAAAGATTGTGAAAACCCTCATCCCATAGAAATCCACGAGGAAAGAAGGGTCGAGAAGGAACGGCAGAAAACAGAGACAATGGACCATAATAACGTGCATCTTCATTAGGATTTTCAGATGTCCTGACAAGAGAATAGCCATGCCATACACCAATACCACCTAACAAAATAAATTATTTTATTAGAAAAAAAACTTTTACCCAATAAATTAGCCAAAGCAGTTTTAGCCAATTTTCGATAATTTCTATCATTAACATCATTTTTATTTGGTTCAAGTCCTTCTTCGTTTTTTAAATCAATAGGAAAGGCATCATCAAAACGATCTCCAAATTCCTTCAACTTCTTATCAAAAACTGTCTGAAAATAATCATTCGATATCCCATCATTTGCAGCATTCAATTCGACAATAAAATCAAAATCACCTAAAAATTGAGTACAAAATTCATTGCTTAATGGTGAGAATATAATTAGTAATATTTCAAAAATACCAGAAACTGTTATCTGAACAACACTAAAATCAACATTTCCTGAAGATGATTCAAACGAAGCGATTCGCTCATTTTGATGCAAAATCAGGTCTAATTGGTTTTCTGGACGCGCAAATGAGCCAAGAATTACATCTTTTATATGAACCATTCCCAAATAAGCAGGAAGTTTGTAAGCAACATTTGAAAATTTTTCAGTTGTCATTGGATTTGTGAAAAGAATTTTAATGTCAAATTGGCCGATGCTACGAGAATGACCATTAATAAATTTATAAGTAAGTCCTCCATCTTCTAGGATGTTTAATGGAGTTAACACTCCGTCCTCAATTTCACCATTATTGCTAATATTTTTCTACAAGATTTAATTTAATAAAAAAATATACATATACGTACTTGAAGTGCCAAATAAAGAAGAAAAGAAAAACTAGAGTTTTGCTCAGCTCTTCCAAACATTCGAACTGTCCAAGATTTTTCACCTTTGGAGATCCAGTCAATAAAAAAAGATAAATAACCGTCAGTAATTTTTTGCCTTCCAAAGGTACGTCCATCATGCGCCTCCCAACCATATTTAACAGGATCAGCTAGAAAAATGCCAAATATCAAAAAAGCACTTCTTAACCGTTTTTCTAGGGAGATGGGAAAATGAAAAGAAAGTGTTCAAAAACCGAGGTTTTTTCCTAATAAATAATCTAATTGAAATTACTATATAATCCCTAAATTAAACCTAATTATGGTAAATTAAATGTTTGATTAACTGACACAATAAATTTAGAAAATGACAAAAACAATTTAAGTAATTTATTGAATTTTATATAGGTAATTTCTCAGTTTTATTACCATGATCGCACCAATGGCGTAAAGGAAGATTTTGAATAAATTGTTGACGAGGTTGTTCGTACCATAGTAAACCAAACAGTGGTGAAAGTATTTGTTTAGTTTTCAGACCAAAATAAAGATGAGGACGAAGAGTACCCCAACTTGTCTGAAAAAAATAAAAAAAATATTTTTAGATACTTTAAAATAATTACTTCTTTATAAATATCCTCAATTTCACTTTTTGGAAGTTCAGATTTTTGTAAAACATTGGTAGGAATAAAGAAAGAATTTCGTATATAAACATAAAGAAATATGGAAAATAATATTGATAATAGAAAAAATATTTTAGACCGCCAATTTTTTATTAATTGACTGGCCATTGTTTCCCTTTTTAATGGAATGCGTTCAGAAAATTTGTCTTTACGTCTTCGTCTTATTTCAGACATGGCTGAAATTACAACCTAAATTAAAATAAAATTTTTGATTCATTACATATTTAAAGTAAAACCGGTTAAAATGTTATGTACAAAAAGTTCGAAAGTAAATTTAAAAAAAAAGAAAATAAGAAGCAAATAAAAAAAAATTAAAAAATAAAGGGTAGATCAAGTTTGAGAATAGTGGATTCAGAAATTACTGCTTCAGGATAATAAATAAACGGTCTAAAAATAATTTTTCATGTACATAAAAAAACAATTAAAAAATACTTATGAGTGATTTGAGGGGAATAAATCACTGCTTTTAAAAAATTGTTAATGCACAAAAAATGCGTAGATGATAAGCACAAGCTCGGAACCGAAAAACCGAAGAGTTCGGGTTGCGAGTGGTAAGTGGCTCGCGACTAAGTGGGCCGTACCCAACTAAATACGTGGTTTCGCGATTAACTGTCGCGACTAAGTAGGGGTGGAGGACGATTTAGTATCGCCGATTCAGTATTTGGGGCATATTCTGTGCCATACTTTTTTGATTCTTAACCCATTTAAATAATTATTATATCAATCGAAAGCTCTAAAAGTGAGGATTATTTTACTTAGCAGGATTAATTTGATCAGATCGTCCTACAAAAAGTTACAGCCGAATAGGTGAGGTCAATCGTAATTTCAATCTTTATTTGGCTTTAACTTTTTGTTGAATGTTCAGATCAGATCAGTTTATTATTAAAAAGATGCCTCATCTCGATACCTTTCGAATAACATGAGAATTACTCGAATCGGAGGAAAACAAAGAAAGTTATGGCCCAAAATATGCCTCAAATACTGAATCGGCGATACTGAATCGTCCTTATCAGATTAAGTAAACAGAACCACGACTATATGGGACGTACCCAAATTTTTAAGCTTGAAGCGTTTATGAAAAACTAAATAAATTTAACCATTGAATAAAAGATTTTTGTAATTTTCAGATTTGAATATTTTGATTTTAAATTGTTAGAACTTGTTTTTCGGTAGTTTATTGATTTATGTACGAGGACCTATCCAAACTGATTGTTTCAAGACGTAATTCTGATGAATTTTCGCAACAGAGTGACAGCACTCCGTTAATGCAGGCTTGTAATTGTGGACATGCCGATGTTGTTAGAACTTTGATTCAAGCTGGAGCTGATGTTAATGCTCTAAGTTCAACACGAGATACTGCATTACTTTATGCTTGTGCTTCTGGACACCTTGAGGTTATTTTAATAAAAATATATAATCACTTTGTATCTCAAATAAAAATTCTTAATTTAGTGTATTAAAGATTTAGTCAACTCTGGGTGTTGTGACTTAACTTTACGAAATGAGGCAGGACATGATGCATTAATGGAAGCAGCAAACTTTGGAGATGTTGAAATAATGAAATTTTTGATTGAGCATGGTGCAAAGCCTTCATACACGATGGATGGCGCTGATTATAAGGTTGGTTATTAAATTATAAGGTTATTAAAAATTTCAATTGTCTTAATAGTGTTCCACTTTTTATTTCTATAATTAAAAAATTATTTTTAGGAGTCTGCACTAACACTAGCCGCATATAAAGGCCATTGCGAAGCTGTTGATTTTCTTCTTTCGTTGATGCCCAAGGAAAAAAATGCTCAGGATGAGGAAGAGCTGCATACTGCTTTGATGGTAATTTACATTAACATTTGGGCTATTGTCTAGTTTATAGTCCGAACTTTACCAATATGTGTTTCGTCGTTTTTTCTACATACATATGTGATGCATTTTTTTAATTTTTTCTTGTACCTAGAAAAAATGTGGAAAAAGTGATTTTTCGATATTTTAGAATTTTGCCAGTAGATAGTTAAGTGTTTTATGGCTAAACCGACACGTCTCTTTTATCTCAAATTTAGGTCTAGGGTTGAAATAAATAAAATTTGACCTCACATTCGAACTCATGTCAACACACTTAACTACCCACTGGCACCACTAAAAATGCCAAAAAAAGCGTTTCTTCTTCGTTTTTTCTAGGGAGATGAAAAAATGAATGCGTCACAAAAACCGAAATATTATCGAGCAGGGTTTAACAATTAAAAGATTGGTTGTATAAACTAGACAAGAGTTGACATTTGTTAAATTATATTTCTATTTTATTTCGTTTTAAGGAAGCAGCAATGGATGGACATGTGGGTGTAGCTAAATTATTGTTGGCTGTTGGCTCTAAAGTTAATTTGTCTACTGAATCCTTCGAAAATCCTTTAACATTGGCTTCTTGTGGTGGTCATCTTGAATATGTTTTTTTAATTTAAGAAAAAATTTGACAAATTTAATTATTTATAGGTTACACTTCTTTGTGACGCTGGTGCCATTATAGAAGAGGCAAATGATGAAGGTTTTACTCCTTTGATGGAAGCAAGTCGCGAGGGTCATTATGATGTAGTTAAATATTTGTTGGATCACGGTGCAAATGTTAATGCCAAAACCGGAGATGGGCTTGAGACTTCGCTTACATTAGCTTCCTCGGGAGGATTCTTGTAAATCAAACTAATAATATAATAAAAAGTTTCTAATCTTTTAGAAATATTGTTGAATTACTTGTTAACCGTGGTGGCGATTTAACACTCGGAGACCGTACGCCTCTTTATGAAGCTTGTCAAGAATGTTTGTTTTTCTTATTTTAATATATATTTATTTATTTTAGGCCGTGTAGAAGTATGCAAATTTATTATAAATTGTTTGCAAAAATCTCACCCGTTATCCGAGATTCAAAAAGACCTTAACGAAGCTTTATTTTGTGCTGTGAGTATTGGCAATGAGGAGTTGTGTGATCTATTAATCGAATCTGGAGCTCAAATTGTATAAAAATTATTATATAGTAGTACTGATATTATATTTTTTGTTAAGGACTGTTTTTCTAAGGAAAATCGAACTCCTCTTATGGAAGCAAGTCGACAGAACTTTCTGAACATTGTTGAATTACTTATTAAGAAGGGATCTGATGTATGTTATCTTTGTTTTATTTATATTCACACTCAGTTTAATATCTTTAGGTAAACAAGATAGCCCCCAGTATCAACAAGGATTTAGAACCAGCTACCAGATGCTCACTTAAAGCCAATAAAAACTCTAAGAAATTAACACAAAAGGACTGTTGTCCTGCATTAAAATGCCCGTGTTGTATTCCTCCTTCGCTTCAAAAAAGTGCAAAAGAAGTATGTACTGCTGCTGGAATTACTACTGGGCCATATTCTACAGCAAATTCTCAAATAAATATGGGTACTTACATATATAAGTTATTAAAATGACTTTTTTATACAGCCACGATGTCGTTTTCTTCTGTTTGTTCTCACTCAACTGTTAATCCCTCGAATGCGTCAACAGGAGGGAAACGACATGCAGCACCGAGTCGTAGCAGTTCGCCAAACACAAACAAATGCACGAAGTCAGCATCAAACAAGGGAAATCATGTATCTGCAGCACATAGGCATCAACGTTCATTAAGCACAAGCAGCAGTAGTGCAACACTTTCAGATCCTTCTGCATGGATGGAAAATGCAACGGCATGTGATACACAAAATAATGGTTTGTTAGTTTATTTTTATGGGATTATTTCCAAATGTTCCTCCAATTTAGACACTGCTCTAACACTTGCTTGTGATGGAGGACATAAAGAACTTGTCTCACTGCTGATTAAACGTGGCGCACACTTAGAACATCGTGACAAAAAGGGATTCACTCCTTTAATTTTAGCAGCTGCTAGGGGACATGAAGAAGTTTGCAGACTTCTTATTGAGGGAGGTGCGCAAGCAGATGCTCAGGCAGACAGAACCAAGGACACAGCTCTCTCTATGTCTTGTAGTGGTGGAAAAAGCAATGTAGTTGCATTACTACTTAAGCATGGGGCAAACAAGGAACATAGAAATCTGAGCGATTATACACCTTTATCACTTGCTGCTTCTGGTGGATATGTGGATGTTATACAACTTTTGCTTACACATGGAGCAGAAATCAATTCGCGAACAAACTCAAAGTTAGGCATTTCTCCCCTGATGCTTAGTGCAATGAATGGACACGAAGAGGCGACTAGAGTTTTATTGGAAAATGGTTCAGATATTAATGCTCAAATTGAAACGAACAAAAACACTGCATTAACATTAGCCTGTTTTCAAGGACGTGTTGAAGTGACTCGATTGTTGATTAGTCATGGTGCCAATGTTGAACATCGAGCAAAAGTATAACATTTGTGCATTTTTTCATCGTCATCGACGATATTTTGTATAAAAAATATTTCTATTTTAGACTGGTCTTACACCTCTCATGGAGGCTGCTAACGGTGGATATGTTGAGGTTGGACGGGTTCTACTTCAATCTAATGCAGATGTTAATACTTCTCCTGTACCCACTAGTCGAGATACGGCACTTACTATTGCTGCAGACAAGGGTCATCATGCGTTCGTGGCACTTCTACTAGACTATGGAGCACAAATTAATGCACGAAACAAGAAGGGCTGTACTGCATTGTGGTTAGCCTGCAGTGGAGGACATTTGGAAACGACGAAAGTGTTAGTAGATTATAAAGCTGACACGGAACTGCTAGATAATCGGAAATTGACTCCTCTAATGATTGCATTTCGGAAGGGGCATTTTAAAGTATGTTTAAAATATTGCAATGATGGGGATTTTTTGGGAAAGTACAACTTTTGATTAAGTAAAGATTTGTTTATAAGTTAGCATTTATCAATTAGATCATGTAAATTAACTTTATTCTAATTTTTTGTTTTATTCATTTGGGTTTATTTTTATACCAAGTACTGCCCTCACAACTTACGCTGAGTTGCATTTCCAATTACCCTAAAAGCCGTACCACTAATGATAAGAGCAATTAGATATGGTAAGGGAAAAACTAACTCTTAACTTTAGGTAGTTGAGTATCTGGTTGAACATGTACTACAGTTTCCAAGTGATGGAGATTGTCAACGATTCATTCTTTCACAAACTGATCAGGTGAATTTTTGCATACATTAGTAGTTTTATATTTTTTGTTTAGGATTTAATTAACAAATGCACAAAATGCTTGATATCTATCAAAGAAGCAAAGGCAAGGCAGGCAGAACAAGCGAACAAAGCAGCGGCCTCTTTGTTGGAGATGTTGGCGAAAGAGGTAGAAAATAATTTTATATTATTTTGAATATAATTATTTAGGAAGCTTTGGAAGAGTCAAAAAAGCGTACAAAACAACGTCAGAAGGAAAAGAAAAAAGCCAAAAAGCAAGCGAAAAAGGATGATGAAGATAATTGTATTAATGAAAATGAAGTGAACAATGAGTTTGAAAAGCTATCAATAAAGCCTGTGGAATCAGTAGCCACAGAAAATTTATCAATTCGGCAACAGAAATCCATAAATCAAAAATGCAATAACTCAGCAAATGCATCTTTTCAAAATGGAAATTGTGAAGATCAAAAGATGTCGATTAAGCAGGGGAAAGAGAATCTTAAGAATTCTAATGGCGTGGCTACAACTAAAACTGTGAAACGAACAAGAGGAACGTCAAAAAAGGAGAATATTAACGAAGATGTCTCTATCTCAACTACGGCATCAAATCATTTTAGTTCTGCAGCTATTATTTCAAAGAACTCTGAAGAAGAAGTAGAATGGCATTCTGCAAACAAAAAGAAATCCATTGTAATTCAGAGTTAAACTTTTATAAAGTGCCATTATTTAGGTTAACAAGCCTGCCGAACCAAAACCCAGTGCTTCTACTCATTCCAATGTGATGACAACGAAAACTGATGTTTCTGATAAAACTGATGCCACTTCTCGAGCTTCTCCAACAACTCATTCAATAACACAAATTCCTCCACTTTTTCCTGATGACGTTTTTTTAAATGAAAATTTAAGTGCAGTTGGAAGCCGTAGACCATCATTACAGGTGTTAAACATTGCATCAAGTTCAATTCCTCGTGTAATCGGTCGTGGCGGTTCAAATGTAAATACAATTCGTGAGGCTACGGGTGCCCATGTAGAAGTAGAGAAGCAATGTTTGCGTAAGGAGCAAACAACACGCAAGATTACAATTAAAGGTGCTCCAGAAGCTGTTAAGTAAGAAATTTATAATTTAAATGTTTTTTGATCAATTCAATTTTTAAGAAATGCTATTATGATGATCGATTTGTTGATGAAGGACCACAATATGCTGGTCACGGATATTGTTGATCGTGTTATTTCAAGTACGTCAACAAGCAAGTCACCTTCATTTTCCGCTTCTACGGAAACAAATACGACAAACACAGAAGTTTCTAAACATCATCAGATAACATTTAAAGAAGAAGTGCAGAAATCACCCAAGCAGGTCCCAAGAATTATTGGTGCTACAACAACAGCAACAATTGCTATGAATAATTCACCAAGTTATACTAAAACTTTGAAGGCCACCATTCCGTTAAATGCATCAGCAGCGCAAAAAACTCCACCTACAAACATTTGGCAAAAAAGAGCTGAAGCCATTCGTGAAAAGAAAAGTTTGTAAAAAATAAAAAGTTTGTGAAAAATTCGGAAATTTGTAGATCCACAGCTCAACCTTACTATCGGAGAGAAGCCTTTTATCAATTACTCACATGATATCGCACATTCAACGTTCGGTTCGACAAGTGTGATTTGCAATAACGAGATAAAATCTACAGTTGGGAAACAACAGGGAGTTGAAACATCTGACGATACTGGTGAACTAGCTGCTCTTACAAAAGAGGAACACCAACGCAAGGTATGCCTTGAAATATGAAATTATTTTTCCAAATTTATCTCCTCTAGGCTCCTGGGTATGCTCGCCCACAATCTTCAATGATTTCAATGAATTATTTACATAACAATTACAATGAAAAGGTAATTCTTTAATTATTATAAGGAAACAAAAATTATTTGAAGTTGACAAATCCACCAGTGGCGCCGTCTCTGTTTGATACAATAGCTGCACGTTGGACTACAAACGCCCTCGACGTCGTGGAAGAATCTGATTCAGTTGTAACTGGAGCTATACAAAATAGTTGGAGTTATTTACTGGAGGAACGAAAAAATGCTTCCCCGCAACTTATTTCTAACATTGTTTGAATTATAGAATTTATACCAAGTAATTCCTTTTTGCATTTAGGCTGGTGTTAGTATCCCTCCCAATACATCTAACATAACATCTGAAAAATCAAATAGGACAGAGTCACTATGGAACGTCAATAATGGTGGAACACCAACTCATAAACAGCAATATTTGCCCGGTATTCCGAATGCAAACTCTTTGGATAATGGTTCCACAAATTCTTCATCACTTTCCACCCCAGCAAAACCGTTTATGGTCAGTTTAAAAAACCTTTAAAAAATTCGGTAAAATACTTTATCAGGACCTACAGACACTTAATACTATTGACTCGAACAAGTCACAAGCTCTTTACACACAAACAATGTTATACCAACAAAAGCTACAGGCGCACCAATTTCATCAACAACAGCGAATCCAACGACATAGCAATCTGCAGCCTGCGCAATTTGGAGCGCTGCCTGCAACGGCTTTGATGCTTCCACAAAACAGACCATCTGATATCATTCCTCAACCAACGATGAATCGATATCCATCGCCTTCTTTTCAATCACATCGTCAACCTCCACCTGGGTTTAGTAATGGTATTTCTACTCACGGAGGTACTTTTACCCGATTTTTTTTTTATTTTTCTTTACAAATAGGCTCTACCTATCTTTATTGTCAACAATATAATCAACAACAAAACACCATGCTGACATCAAACACTTTCACACAACAAACTCCTTTTACTGCCTCGGTCAACCAACAGCAACAAAATTCACCTACGCCACTCTCCGGAAACTCTTTTTCTATGAACAATTTTGGTACTCGACACTTTCCGATGCCCTTCACTCCCTCCTCAACTACTGCCGCGACTACTTCACCGAATGTTATTATCGCCAATGATTCAATAAATGGCAACTACTCAAACCCCTCCCCAACCACACGACTTCCGCCTTCGCTTGATCTTCGTTTGAATCATTAATTGAATGCCACAAAATACTTTGATTTGTTTTATTTCATTTTATTATATTATATCTGCCTGAGAACCAGTTGCGATCATTATAACGTACTTAACCGTGCGTAATTTTAAACTGAATAAAATATACTCATTTGTTTGAATTATCTTAATTTTGAAATATCTTAGAAAATTCAATCAATTAAGTCATAAACAATTTATTCTTCGCAACAAAGTAACAGAAGTATAACATTTCGATAAGAGAAAAATCAACTTTATTTCTTCCCAGCTTGAACTTTAGTCTTCTTTGTCCCACGGACTTTCTTCTGTCGGTTCTTACGTTCCTTTCGCTGTTTTCGGCCACCCTTCTCCACTTTCTTACCAATTCCCTGCTAAAACGGAATAATTTTATAAAAAAAACCACAATTTTATATTTAAACATACTCGAAGTAGACGGAACTTAGGCTCAAAGCGCTTCGCATAGTCTACAGAATCTAAACGACAATTTTAACATGTGCTAGTAAAAATAGTAAATTTAGATATGCAGTGTTTCTAAAAGTACTGCAGTCCTAATTTTTCTGCTTATTGTTTTGAATGTGAGCTCTAATCTGAGTTAGTTTGAGGATAAGTTTTAATTTTAATGAAAATAATGTTAAGAAACGAACCATAAACATTAGCGAAACCAGTGCTGCGTCCACCACCGAAATGGCAACGGAATCCATACGGAATCACAACATCCGAAGTCGTTTTGAAAATTTTTGCAATCCTCTCACGCAATTCAGACTTTGGCACCGACGCGCGATTTGGGTGAAGAATGTCAACAGACTGGAAATTTTAAATAAATTCGAAACACTTGTTTAAATAACAAACCATTTGTCGACGATAAAGAAGTGGATTTGTAAGCACCTTCCTTGCTTTGATTGTAATAACGCCTTCCACCATTTTTGTTTTTAAATATCCTATTAACTTGCAAATTGAAATAATTGGAGAATTAATTAGGTAATGAAAGCAGAATTAATGCTAAACAACGTAAAAAGATAAATAAAGCAAATAATTTTTAAACAATGAAAAACGAAAATTTAAAAATAATTGAAAATGAATTCAAAAAAAAAAACAATTTGTTTGTTTAAAACTTCGATTATTACGTTGTCATTGTTGGAAGAAACATAGGAGATGGTGTTTCATGTGGAATTGTTATGGCACCACTTGGTGCAAAATTACGTGCATAATTAGAATCCTCTTGTATAGGTTTGAATGCAAATTGCATAAAATACTTTAAAATATTTTTTCTTTATAATTTTAAAAAATAAAATAAAAACCTGTTTGCTTTCTTTGTTCCACAAGCACCAATATTTGTCTTCTGAACGGTCAACCTCCCGTGCTGGAATTTTAAAAGCAATCGTCTCGTATGGCTCTGCCGCAAAAAGTAGATATTGCCAACGCTTATCTGGAGGTTGAATTTTTTGTTCGTAAGAGGACATAAAACGATGGCGAGGTGTAATCGTTTCAGTAATCTCAGGATAATCAATTTGAAAAAGAAGAGCCTGTTGACCAGAAGCACTGTCTCTTTCTTTTGTTACCTTTTATTAAATAATTATTTAAAAGAAATACAAAAGAATAAAACCTTATATCCTGGTCGTCCAATTTTGACAAACTTTTTAGGTTCAACCTTTGGTTGAGATGGAAGAGGCAGATATGGAATATCGGTAGCTTCTTTTGCAGCCCTTCTAGCTAAATTTGCTTGATGCTTCTTCCCTTGCGTGTGTGCCAGATAAGATCCTTCATTGTTGTGAAGAGTAAGACACAACTTACATTCAAATCCACCCATATGATTGCGCATAAAATAAGGGTCCTTCTGCAAATCTATTGTTTCTAGTGCAAGCTGCCGAAGACGTTCGCGACGGTCAACATTGGCATCTGTAGCAGAAGCTACTCCTCCTCCGCCAGTCTTTCCACCAGCCCGATTCTGAAAATCCATTCGTATGTTCAAATTTAAAACTACTAAGATTTATATTAAATTTCTAAAAAAGGTTAAAAGAAGTCTTGTCAAATTAATAATTAATTTAGAAATTTAAAGAAAAACGGGCAGGAGAGGACACAGTATCGCCGACTCAGTATATCGGGTTTTAGATCATAACTTTCTGTTCAATATTATAGAAATTTCTATATATGATTCGAAGGTCGCGAGGTGCTGCACCTTTTTCATAATTGGACTGACCTGATCATTCTACAAAAAGTTATCACTGATAAACGATGTTATTATAGGCAGAAAAAATCAGTTTTAAGGATGTAACTTTTTTGTAAGATCATATCAGACTGGGCCAATTATGAAAAAGATGTTGAATCTCAAGACCTTTAAAATGGGTACTACTGAAGAAAAGGGTGCTTTTTCTGCGGACTTATTTTGCGGACTTTTCCTTTCCTTTACATGTTTTACTTGTAGCAACTAACTGTCAACGGCCCTCCCCCCATTATTTTTCTTACCTAAGATTGTACACAATGGTCAGATTTTCTTCTTTCTCTTTTCCTCTATTTGCCGTGTGGCATATTCAAACAAAAGACATTGATACAGAGAAGATTAATTTTATTTTTTTCATTTCTGTTTAAATGTTTTGCTTATAGCAACTAACAGTCAACGGATTATTTTTTATGCCGGTCTGAAAAATGTCGTTCACAAATAATTTAGACATTATAAACGAAAAAAATGTTACAATCAATAAAAAATTTTACTTTAACTAAATTGTATGATAAAATTAAATTACCCAATGATGAATTTCAACAATGGATCACTGATCTCGGAATGCTTCATAGAAAAAGAACATGTGATTGTGGAAAAGAAATGCGTAAAGAGAAGCGTGGACAAAATGGAAGATGGATATGTAAGAAATCAGTATGCAGAAAAACAAAGGGTGCTTTAGTTGGAACATTTTTCGAAAACTGAATTTGGTACTGCTGAAACAACGTTTGAAAGTTATATGAATGAGTTTGTATGGAAACAGAAATTTGGAGGAGATGACTGTTTTTTTCATTTAATTTCACAAATAACAAATAATCAAAAATATTTGTGCGAATAAAAATTAATCCTTTGACAGTTAGTTTGCTACAAGCTAAAACATTATCTTTTAAAAAAAAGGGAAAAAGAAGGAAAGGAAAAGTCCGCAAAATAAGTCCGCAGAAAAAGCACCCTTTTCTTCAGTAGTACCTTAAAATGATATGTATGAGTTTTATACGGGTGGGTCAGAAATCAAGACAGTTATGGGCGTATACTGAATCGGCGGATACTGAACCGCGAAAAAGCCCATGACAACGCGGGCCAAAACTACGCGACCGAAACTACGCAGGCCAAAACAACGCAAGGCCAAAACTACGCAAAACTAGTTTGTATATTTATTCGCATTAAAGTCTCGCTGTTGACTAATTGATCACTCCCTTCCTCTTGATCAATTATCATTCTCACTGTGATCACCCTTGATCAAGATTACTCGGTAATTCCAAACTATCCCCCCCCCCCATTTTTTCTTCCTTAATAATGTACTAATAGTCTGATTTTCTCTTATGCACATTTTTGAGGAAAAAAATGGTGGGGGGTATTATATTTCTCTTTAGTCAATAATATTCTTTTCTTGGGAAATGTGTCATATTTTTCTGTCATTCCGTTTCTGATTTTCAAGATTATTCACGTTTAATTTCATTTCTGCGTAGCAATTTATTTTATTTTGATTTTATTAGATTTAAGCTTTGAATTAAAAATATGGCTAGAACGATTCAACAAACATTAACTACAGGTGCTGCCGGAGGTTTAGACGAGCCTATCAAGAAACACAAACCTAAAGGTTAATCTAAATTAAATTTTTTTCCTTTTTAATTTGTTATTTTATTTTAAAGATACAAGATTAAGGCAACAACGTCTTCCGGCTTGGCAGCCAATTTTAGATGCAAAAACAGTTATACCAGTTTTCATTACAATCAGCCTTCTTTTTATACCAGTTGGAATTGTTCTTATAATTACGAGCAATTCTGGTTTTTTTTTAAATTTAATTCAAATAAAAATTAATTTTAGTTAAAGAATGGGCTCAATATTATGACATTGCTTGTGAAAATCAATTAAAATTTGGATCGAATATTTGTATTTTTGATATATCCTTAGAAGAAGATTTTTTGGTTTTTTTCCCTTTGATAATTAAAAAAAAGTTTTTAGGGAGATGTTTATTTTTATTATGAATTGGAGAATTATTATCAGAACCATAGACGTTATATGCGTAGTAGAAATGATCTTCAAATGCTTGGACGTTTAGATGTAAATTTGTTTTTAATTTTCTTTTTAATTTTTAATATAAAAAAGGAAGTTTCTGATTGTTCTCCCTTTGACTACCTCGATGGCACAAAAGTCGCACCATGCGGGGCTATAGCTAATTCAATGTTTAATGGTTCTTTAAATAAAATATTCCTTGTTTTTAAATTTAATTTTAGATACTTTTACTTTGAAAGAAAAATATACGGGAAGAACTATTGAATGGAGTTATGAAGAATTAATTTGGCCAGCTGATAGAACTAAATTTATTAATCCAAAATGTTCAAATGGTGATTGTCAAACAATTAATGATTTGTGTGGAGCTTTTCAGGTTTATTTTATTTTAAAAATAAAAAATAATTTTGTTAGGGGTATTCAAAACCTCCCAATTGGATTAAACCTCCATGTCAATTAGACAGCCAAAACGTTCAAAATAGTGGATTTCAAAATGCTGATTTTATTATTTGGATGAGGACTGCGGCATTTCCTGATTTTAGAAAGTTTTTTTTGTTTTTAAAAAATATTTTTAAATATTCTTTTTTAGACCCTACAGAAAATTGAAAGACCCTAATTATACACAGGGACTTTTACGTGGAAATTATACTTTAGAAATTGGATATAATTATAATGTTAGTGCCTTTTCTGGTCGAAAATCCTTTGTAATTAGTACAACAAGTTGGCTAGGTGGAAAAAATCCTTTTTTGGGTTTGTTATTTTTAAATTATTTTTGTAACGAGGAGAGAAATTTGTAACGAGAAATTTTTTATTTAGGTTTTGCATATATTGCTGTCGGCATTCTTTGTGCCATTTTTGGTTTTGTATTTATTTTTATACATATAAAATATGGACATACGTAAATTTTTTTTAAATTTAAAGAAAAAATATTTTTTTAAAGTTTGAGAGAAATGGCTGTTGTTGAATTAAAAGAAGGAGAGGGTGCCCATTCACATTCCCAATGATAATTATTTAAAAATTTTGTATCAAAAATTAATTTTAATTCTGTGATCTGAATTTAGTTTATATATTAAAAATTATTGACACATTCTTTAAGATAGTTTTTTATATTGTAAAGGGTTTAGGAAGCAATGTAAAATTGCATGAACAAAAAATTGTAAAGTGGCGACCTTCAAAAAATCCTTTTTAAATGAATGGAAATCTGGAGGAACTAAACAGCACTCCATCAATCTAAATTAGCCTTCATTTACTTTAATCAAAATCTCACTAAAAATCAAAACCACACCTCTATCTAAGAGATGCTTTTGTAATTTAATTGAATGAGATAAGAGATGGAAGAATCTAAGAAAAACGATGTTTAAATACACCTAAGTATAGTCAACGATTTTTCAAGAACAAAGGATTTGTATGACTTATGACCTATCTGACCTAAAGCTCTGACCTATCTCTAAGAAATAAACATCAAATCAAACCAAAATTTATTTACAAAAAATCAATTTACATACATACAATTAAAAGCATACAATAAAAACAAAAACAAGTTTATACAATCAAAAATGTGAACATTTTTACAACAATTAGTATCACAAAAATAAGTTTTTGGGGAGGAAAAAACACTAGAGGACGTCATTATTCTTATTGTAGCATCTCGACAATTTCCTTGAAGTGTGGCCTCTCAGATGGATTTCCATTCCAACAGCTGGTGATCAGTTCAGCAACCTTCTCAGGTGTACCCTCAGGGATCGGCATTCGGTAGCCATGAAGTAGAATGTGCGCTCTAGCCTGCATATTGCTCATGCCCGGATATGGCTCCTTCCCGTTGCTGTATATTTCCCAACAGAGGACCCCATATGACCATACGTCTGTGTGGGCGTTGTAGATGCCGAGCTCCAGCGTCTGTAAAAAACGAAAAGAAATATTAGGGGAAGGAAACCTTGAGGCTATTTATTAGATCCCCCAGAACCCAGACCCATCTCATACCTCTTTAGCCAACCACTTGACTGGAACCTTCCCGAGGCTTTCCATCTGGGCCTGCTTCGTCTTGAGCGTGAGTCCAAAATCAGCTATCTTGAGTGTCGTCGATTCGGTCAGCAAACAGTTGCGCGCAGCGATGTCCCGATGTACGTACCCCATGGAGTTGATGTAGTCAAGGCCTTTGGCCGCCTCAAAACCCCAACGAAACTTCTCCTCGGGTGATGTCTGACGAGCACGAAGCTGATGAAGAAGGCTTCCACCTGTGCACAGTTCCATGACGATCATCATTGGGTGCTCATAGACAGCGACCCCAAACATCCGCACGACGTTCTCGTGACGAAGTTGTCGCATAAGACGAGCCTCTGAAAGGAAACTGCAAAAAAGAAAAAAATATTAATGGGGCAAAATACCCTCAAGAGCCTATCTACCTCTTTTGATTGCTTACAGCTTCGCCATCCCGCAGTGTTTTGACTGCGACGTCAACCTTGGTGCCCTGTGTAGTCTTGAACTTGGCCTTGAAAACCTTAAAGAAAATGACCAAAATTTAAATAAAAGAAAAAAGGTGTGTACACACCTCTCCAAACTGTCCAGCGCCTATTTGTTCACCGAGCGTCACCGATTCGTGTGTCAAAACCCATTCCTCCCTCGCAATTGCTCTTTTTATGATGGCTCCAGATTGTTGAGTTATTGGCTTCTTTTTACGCTCATGCCATTTGACCAGGGCATCCACCTCCGGTTCGTGATGACCTTGTTCTTCGAAGAAGACGTCCTTTTCCTGCTCAAGCACAACGAAGTGACGGATTTGATCAGCCCATTTAACACTCAGAGCAAGTCGACTTTCCCCTGCGTTGGTCTTTCGAAGCAGATAGTCTCCATTCTTCACCAGAAGCTCGTTGACGTCAGCCCGCTGGATCATCCCTTAAAAAACGAGAGATTAAGCAAAGAAAGATTAAAACAGAATGAAAGAAAAAACTGACCGTGATAGAAATCCCGCCCACGGAGGCGCTGTGTTCGGGTTTTTGGCTGGCCACCAAGAGTAGAATCAGCTCCTGACATCTGCCGGTTGCGACTGCTGTAGTTGTAGACGACGGTCAATAAAGATGAGTAGAGATGAGTAATGGTACTGACGAGGTGAAGCCGTTGCTTTTATAGCATATTTTGAGAAAGAGAACGAGGAAGCCCGTAGGATCTTACTATAAAACATTCCATTCCCAATGATAATTGGGAATGAATTCACAATCACAATGATAATCATTTAAAAATTTTATATCAAAAATTAATTTTAATTCTGTGATCTGAATTTAGTTTAAAAATTATTTGATAATTTCATCAATTTATATTAAAATGAGGGAAAGGAGAGAAAGGAGGGGGGGGGGGGGGTAAAGAACAATAAATATTCAAAAATTTATTCGTCACTGAAAAATTAATTTTAAAAAAATTTAAATATTTGTGGCACCCGCGCAATAAATCGATTTTTTCCGTTGGCGACAGATGGGCGGCATTTCTTATATGTAGTGATGATTGATGGACTTGAAGAATGGTGGGTGACAAAGATGATGACAAAAATTTTATTTGCACATTTTTGTTTTCCTTTGTTTCTTTTTTAATATTTTTAAAAATTAATTTTAAAATAATTTTATTATCAATTTAAAAATATTTTTTTGGAGGTTATAATTACAAAAAATAATTAATTAATATTGATTATCTATATTAAATTGTTATCAATTATTTAAAATGTATATATTATTTTTTAAATAAATGAATATTTCTGTTAGAAAATATTGTTTTTGTAATTATAATGATGAATCACAAAAATGTAATTATGATGAGAAAACTTGTATTAAAGTAAGTTTAAAATTTAAATTGAGGAAAGGGGTGCGGGTTGAAGAAGGATTTTTAGGGGGAAAAGATTTTTTAAATTGTGTAGAAATTAACTTTTAAATTTTATTTAGGATGAATTTGCTGCTTGTTTTCGTGCTGTAAAACAGGTAAAATGTTAATTTTGTTCTGAATTAAAAGAGGAAAGGAGTGCTTAATTGCAAAGAAGCTCTGAAGCTCTAAATTATATCCTTACTTTTCAGTATTAAAATTTAAAAAAAAAATTAAAGGAAAAAAGGGCATCCATCCCTTTCCCTGTTAGCGACATAAAATTCTAAAATTCTAAAATAAATCCTTTTTTGAGGAGTTTAATGAGGAAACAAAAACTTTTGAATTAATACATTTATTTGGTTGTGCTCCTCTTGAAAAAGGTTCGAATGGTTCTCATTTAACGGTAAAATAAAAATAATTTTTTTTAATTTTCTAAAAAATCTTTTTTAGTGTAATGCTTGGCGTTTTGCCCATTCCAGTCCAAAATCTATTTTTTGTTGTTATGAGGGTAATTATTGCAATAAACATTTAACTATACCTTCTTTTCCTTTAATTGAACGTTCTACTAAAAAAAGTTTTTTTTTTCTTTAAATAAAAGCTTTATTTTGTTTTTTAAGTTGAATTTCCTTCTTCTTATTCTTTAATTTATACTTTAGAATCTTTTATTTTTATTATTTTTGGATTTTTAATTGGTTTATGTTTAATTATTTTATTTGCAATACCTTTAATTCGAAAAAAAAGTTTTTTTTAAAAATATATAATTTTTTTGAAAATTAATTTTTAGATAAATTAATTAAAAGAAATTTAAATAAAAGAGGAGGGAAAGAAGAAGAAGAAATAATTAATTTAACAAAAAATAATTTAGAAAATTCAAAATCTTTTTTTGAAGATTCTGGGTCTGGAGCTGGGAGAATAATTTTAAATAAAAGGAGGATAGCATTAGATTTACAAATGAAAGAAATATTTTCTAAAGGAAGATATGGGGAAATATGTAAAGCAATTTATAGAGGAAGTTATGTTGCTGTTAAAGTAAGGGAAAGGGAGGGGGGAGGGAGAGAAGAGAACATTTAATTATTTAGATATTTAATACAACAGAAGAAGAATCTTGGAGAAATGAAAGGGACATTTACCTTAGCCAAATGTTTAACCATGAAAATATTTTACGTAAATTATTTTTAATTAAAAAAATATTTTGTTTTAATTAGAATATATAGCTGCGGATATTGTAAGTAGTTTTTTTAATTTGAAGAGAAGAAAATAATATTTTTTAGTCAAGTAATGTAGATTCTTTAACACAAATGTGAGCTTAAAAATAATTTCAAAAAAATATTTATTTAAAAAAAGGTTATTAATAACTGATTTTCATCCATTGGGTTCTCTTTATGATTATTTACGTTCAAATTATTCTTTAAATTTTGAAGAAGCTTTAAATCTTTCTTTAAGGTTTCTTTTCTAAAATTAAATAAATATTTATTATTTTAAAAAAAAAAGTACAATAAATGGATTAGAGCATTTACACAATCCGGTTAGAGGAACGGGGGAATGTCAAAAATTGGAGATTGCCCACAGGGATATTAAATCAAAAAATATTCTTGTTAAAAGGCCTGGTGTTTGTTGTATTGCTGATTTTGGATTGGCAATTGTTAAAAAAGAAGAAAATAATTTTTTAAAAAATAATTTGGTAAATATACAAGTTGGAACTAAAGTAAATTAAAATTTTATTTAAAATTATTTTAATTAAAAAAGAGATATATGGCACCAGAAATTTTAAATAAAACATTAAATCCAAATAATTTTGAAGAATTTAAATGTGCAGATATTTATTCTTTTTCTCTTGTTTTATGGGAAATAATTAATTGTATTCAATTACCAACAACAACAAATAACAATTATTCAAAACAACAATTAATTAAACAACAAAATAATTATTTAGTTAATTGTAAATATTTTTAGAAAATAATTTTTAATTTTTTAATTAACCCCAAAAAAGGTCAATCAACAAATTATTCAAGTGGAATTGCAAGTGGAGGAGGAACAACAACAACAACAACATTACCCTTTATAAATACAAATAATAATAATTTAATTCCTTCAACTAATTCAATTGTAAATTTTTTTTAAAATATTTTGAAGAAAAGTAATTAATTAAAAATACCGTAAATAATTACCCTGGCTGATTATTTTGCAACCTCCCGCTTCTTTCCTGCTTTGAAGTACGAAAGAATTGAGCCATAAAGTTCAAAATTTCCAAAATATTTTCTGCCCCGAAGGGGATTTGCTATAAGCTTTATCATTATTTTTAGCCAATAAAAATCGTTAATTCTTTTTCAGAACTCTTTGAGGCAAATAATTTATATTAATTAAAATTATCAGTTAGTTGTGCTTCCAAACTAAAACATCAAATTTGTTATTTTTTTGGTTGTTGTAGTTTAGTAGGAAAACTCGAGTATATTAATATTATTCGATTCCTCTCATCGAGCTTATTGGTAAAAATTTATTGTCTAAAAAGGCAGCTTTATAAAACAGTTAATTCGAATAAACTCGTCGAGTTTATTTGCTGAAATAACTTTTTGTAAATAATTATGTATTTAACACATTCTTCACTAAAAATTAATTAATTGTCTAAATCTGAGAGTCGAAATTGCCTTTAATTAAAAGAAAATTTTTATTTTTTAAATTAAAAAAAGGAAATAATCAAAACAACAAACAATTCTTTTTCAAATATTTCAACAATATCTACTTCTTTAAATGAAATTAATAATTTAAATAATTTAAAACAACACCAACATAAACTTCCTTTTGAATTAATTGTTGAAACGGGTACTAAAAAATAAAAATAATTACCTAAATTTATTTAGATCCATCATTTGATCAAATGAGGGAAATTGTTTGTGATAAAGTTTTCTTTTAAATTTTAATTTTAAAAAATAATATTTATTTTTTTAAAGAAAATTCGTCCCCCAATTTTGAATGAATGGAAAAAAGAAGAAAATGTTTGTTGTATATTTAAATTAAATTTAAATATTAAAATTTTATAGTTAATAATTATTTGTAATTTAATGATTGAATGTTGGAGTAATTGGCCTACAAGTAGACACAAAGCTTTGAAAATTAAAAAAGAAATTACTAAAATTATTAAAAATTTTAATAATTAATTTAAATAAAAGAATAAAAGAATGACAATTAAATTATTTTTTTTTTCTTTTTAAATTTCTCTTTTCCCTTTCTCTCTTTTTTTCATTTTAAAAACGTCAAATGCTTTTTGAGTTGACTGACTCAGTTTGGGTCGATTGCTTTTAATGCTTATGTAAAGACCTACTCTATATATACTAGTTAGTATTTGGGAATGCTTGTGACACACGCAACGGAAAAAAATTTTTTTATTTCTCTGTCATATGTATAACCTTTAATATATTTAAATGAACATTCCTTTATTTTTTTTAAGTCTTGGCCGTTTTCATTTAATTTTGTCGACAAGTACATATTTTTAGAATTTTCAAAAATATTTTTTGATTTATATTTAAAGTAGACTATCTAATTATTTTTAAGCTATCTTCCAAAATGGTAATTCTTGAGTTCATACCCCCCCTCCCCCCTCCTTTTACCTTCCTCAAAGTATTAAAAAATGGACAGTCAGTCTTATTTTTTTGTCGAATGACACCAAAATCAACCTCCGGTCTTAACTTTGCGCCGAGATACAGACCCCCGAAAACTGAAAAATAAAAGGGTGGACCACGCTCATTTTTTGGGCTAAAAATTCGATTAAACAAATAATAACTCATTCGAAAGAGTCTGTCGAGTGATTCGAATGACATCAAAATCAACGTAATTGAACAAGATTTGACAAAGTTATGACATAAAGTAATCCTATTATAGTCGGTGAGACGCTTTTGCAAAACCTTTTGCTTTCGCAGGTTTTTTGTCTGTATCTCGGTCTAAGGTTAAGACCGGGGGTTGATTTTGGTGTCATTCGACACAGCTCGACGAGTTCTATAACCTAAGACTGACTGACCATTTTTTAATACTTTTAAGAGGAAAAAGAGGGTC